CCTCGTCTGCTGCGTCAGCCGCTGCCTCGTCTGCTGCGTCAGCTGCTGCCTCGTCCGGTTGTTCGCCCGCCACGTCAACATCGTCCTCGTCATTGGCATAGCTGTGCTGTCCCTGAAAAACGTTGTCTGGTGCGTTTTGTGCAGTGCGGTGCTGGCGGTACAGTGGCAGTGTTAGTCTTTCGTAGAAGATGCAGTCACGTGAACGCGTGAGCTGGTGGGTGGCGAAATCCAGGATTGTCCAGGCGTGGTATTCGGATTCGATTCCGAGGTGAATGCCCCAGCGAGCGCGATCTTCAAATTTTCCTGTTCGGGCAGTGTGAGGGCGGTACTGTACCATGCACCCGAAGACTCGCAGCATGCGTGTGTCAGGGTGTTTTCCGGTCCACTCCTTGAAGGGTGAGCTGTTGTTGGGCAGTGCCTTGGAGGAGAGCATGTTGTGCAGCCGAACTGCATGTGCCATTGCGTAGGGCCAGTACTTGGTTGGCACAGCTGACTGCTTCATGAGGGCTCGCATTTTTGTCGCGAGGCTCCTGTTGGTTCTCTCGGCCAATCCCTGCTATTCGTGGGCGTAAGGCAAGGAGATCATCCTCTTGATCCCCTTCTGCTTGCATAGGGTTTTGAAGTCCTCCGACAGGTATTCCAGTGCTCCGTCTGTTTGGAACCCCTTCAGCTTGTAGCCGTTGCTTTGGTTTTCTGCCATGGCGAGCCAGATTTTGAAGCAAGCGTAGGCGAGGTAGCGATCTCGAACGTTAACGGCCCAGACGAAGCGTGTGCCAGCGTCGATGAAGGTAAGAGTGTATTGTTCCCCGCCGACTCCTTTCGCCGTGAGCATTAAAAAGTCGCTGTAGACTTTCTCCAGCGGTTCATATCGCTCTGCTCCAGGAATCTTTTCGGCGAAGGGCGTGTGGCGGAGCGCAGCTTCCGGGCAGACGGTGCAGGTAGGCAGGTCGGTTCGTGGTTTCAGCAGTTTGCCATCGGGCAGCAACAGTGCGTCTGCCGCAAAAACTTTTGCTTTGATGCAGTTGTTGAGCACTTCGATTGATGGGTGTCCCATGCGTTGATGCCAGATGTTTCCGTCGGCCCGATATCCTTTAGTGCGCGTGTACAGCTCCTTCTCGCGCGCTAATATCTCCTCCGCTGTTTCTTGCCTTGTTGTATCCGCAGGTTCATCGGGCACGGTGACTTGGACTGCTGCTGCTTGAATTGTCACCCCATGATACGCTCCGCTGGTGTCGTCGGTGGTGACAGTGTCCATCGTCACCGGTAGCTCCAGTGGCTTTTCTGGGCGCGAAGTTCGTGCGTGGCGATCTTCGTGTTGTGCAACTTTGTCTTCGTCGAATGGGGTATCGCCGATCGCCACTCCCCTTGTCTCGAGGCGAAGATAGTCTCTGCCGTCCGTTGTGATGGGAAGCAGGTGAGGTCCGTATTCCGTCAGTGACTCCTCCTCTTCGGCTTCTGGTGCTTCTTCAGTGATTTCCGGTTCCTCGGCTGCTTCTTCTGCACGTGCGTCGGTGATGTTGCCCCATCCAGTTTCAGCTGCAACGGCTTCTCCGAAATCAGTGTTCTCCATGATCCAGCGTGTGTCCACGGCGTCCCAGCCTTCGGTGGTGTTCCAACCGGTAGGTTGCTTGACGCGAGGCCAGATCGCTCGTGCCCATCCTCCAGCTTGAGTGTTGGCCGTTTCCGTTGTTGTAGCTGCTGTTTCTGATATGATTTCTTCGCCTTCTTCCACCGCCTGAGGTCCAGTGTCCGCAGGGTTCGTGGTCGAGGCAACGGGTACGGCAAGGGCGCGGAAGGTTCCATCGAGGCCGGGTTGTTGGTAATCGGTCTCTTCTGGGTGACTCCATCTTGGCGGCGACGGGTGACCCGGAGGGTCAAGAACAAGGATGTGTTCGTTGTCGCCGGTGGTTCTGGGTGACTCGAAGTCGAGCACGAAAACGCCTTCCACACTCGTTGCTTTTCCGATGAAGATGCAGTTGTATATTAAATGCATCTCGTCTTCTGTTGTTTGCAGGCCAACCCCGCACTTCATCAGCTGGTGAAGCGACAAGAGATTGTACCGGAGTTCTGGCACGATGAGGACGTCGCTTATGTGGATGCAGTAGCCGGTGTCGTGTGACTCCAGTTGCACTTGTCCGCGGCTTCTGGCGTAGATGGTCTGGCTGTTGGCGACGGTGATCTCCACTTCGTTGAAGAGTCGCTCTCTGTTGAGGATGAAAACATCTGAAGACACCATGTGCTGGCCACAGCAGCTGTCCAGGTACCACGTGTTGACTTTTTTTCTTGCCTTGGCCAGGTTAGCGAGCTTCGGAGTGACGTGATGTTCCATGTCGTGATCATTTTCGTAGTCGTAGTAACATTCTTCGTCGTCGTGTACGATGCGTGCAGGTGGCGACTCCTGGATCCACTCCGGCGCTTCCCAGTCAAACTGCATTCGTCCGACCGTCAGCTCGTCGTAGGTTGGATCATTCTCCTCTTCTTCTTCGACTGATCCTTCGGGCCGCTCCAGAGGCGGGTCTGCGAACATGTCTTCCCAGCTGTGGAAGAAGCGATAGTGACGGTTGGGGCGAGGCGGTCCACGACGCACCATGCAAGTCAAGACCTTGCTTTTCCCCTTATCGCTTGTGTTCGCAGAGAGACGTGCCGGGGCTTGGGACGTGCTGGCTACGGCTGGCGGCGACACAGTTTGGTTGCGCGCTGCGGCTCCTCCTTGCTGGTGAGCAGCGGTACCTTTCTGGTTGGTGTTGTTGCCGTTCAGCTTCCAGCAGTCTTGAATCATGTGCCCAGTCTTCTTGCAGTACTTGTAGAAGAGTCTTTTCTTGTCCGGTGGCGCTTGAGCGTAAAAGGCGATTTTCTCCTTCTTGTTGCCTCGTTCGTTGTACAGGTCGATTTCCTTCTGCTCGGAGAGAAGCGTGGAGCAGAGGGCAGTTTCGCTGAGGGTTCCTTGCATGCGAAGGAGTGACTTGCATTGGCGCCATTCCGGGCTCAATCCAGCGAGGATGATAGTGACGAACATATCGTCAGGGAAGTTTCCGCCGCTTTTCCTGAATTGATCTCTCAGGTTCCTGCAGCGGTTGATGTATGGGCCGGCCTTTTCGCCGGGGAACATCTTGACGTTGTTCAGCTGGTTGAGCAGGCGACTAAGTGTCACCGAGTCTGTTGCCATGTGGCAGGTGCGCAGGTGTTCCCAGGATTGTTGCGCGGGCGCCCATTCGTTCTTGAAGGGGCGAATGCTCAGCTGTTCTTCAGGCGACAGGTTTCGTATCAGGACGGTGAAGGCCAGGAGTGATTCGTTGTAGTACTGACTCTTCTCCTGAGGTGAGCCATTAGTCGGAAATGCGTACGATCCGTCGTAATACATCCAGATCTGAGCGCCTTGAGCCAGTAGCTCAAATTCAAAGCTCCACGTGTAGAAATCTTGTCCGTCGAAGGGCTTGGTAGTTCTGAGCTTCGACGTGGAGAGGAACTTGCTCTGCATTGAAGCCATTGCCTCGTAATGTGATTGTTGTGCTTGAGCAGATCCTTGAACTCCGCGGTTGTCGAAGGTGAAGGATCGCTCAGATCCAGCTCCTTGAGGATCGGGAGGTCTTCGGGCGTAGCTTGAGCCGTCAATGCTCATTGGCTGATGGCTCTCCAGTGCGCTGATGCGGGAAATCAGTTGCTCGAGTAGAGCTGTGTCCACAGTCGTCGTAGTAGAGGCGACATTGGTGGAGGGTTGCACTGGATTTTCTCCAGTTTCTCCGCAGTCTGCGCCTGGCATATTGATGCCCTTGATGTTGAGATTAAGTTATGAGGAAGCCCTTTTTGGAGGCCTTTTAGCAGATCCTATAATCCAAACTAGCTCTGATACCATGTTAGAGTAAGGATCTTGGATAGGATAGGATAGTGCTTTGGTAGAGTTGGTAGCGGAAGTCTTGTAGAACTCAGATCATAGTGAATGTAAATGACCAAGTTGATTAAAAGATAGAATACAAGGAATATAAATAGTCCTAGTCTAGCCATGTACTCTAAGGGGTACATTCCCTTATTATAACTGTTTTACAGGCATTTCTACAGTGACTCTGACTGTTGTGCTGCTCTTTCTTGTTACCGAGTCGCTGCATGTTGTCAGATTTATATGACATAGCTACTGTAGGCTATAGTGGGGTAGCACATATGGGGTACAGTTTTCTAGGGTTTACATTTGTACCCAACTTTCCCTTACTCAATCCATTTTCCTCGTAATTTTCACATGGTATAGAGCGGGTTCCCTCGTGGGAACGCTTCCTAGGGCCCACCCAATCGAAATTTTTTTTTTTTCCTGCCCGGAGCGCGCTTCGCTCCTGCCCGAGTCGCGCCCCGCGTGCCCTCCCTACCGTCGCGCCCTCTCTAGGCCCCTTACGGCCCCTTCGCGTCGCCCTTAGCGGCCCCTCTTACGGCCCTTCCAGCCGCCCTTACGGCCCCTTGCGCCGCCCTTACGGCCCCTCGTGCCGCCCTTCACGGCCCGTCCGCCGCCCCTCGCGGCCTCTCTCGGCCCGCCGTCGCCGCCTCTGCAGCAGCAGCAGCCGCAATCGCTACAGCGGCCGCGGCCGCCGTCCCCGCAGCAGCAGCAGCCGCCGCCCCTGCAGCAGCGGCCGCCGCCGTCTCTGCAGCAGCGGCCGCCGCCGTCCCTGCAGGAGCGATCGCCGCCGTCCCTGCAGCAGCGGCCGCCGCCGTCCCTTGAGCAGCAGCCGCCGCTGCCCTTGCAGCAGCCGCCGCTGCCCCTGCAGCAGCCGAGCCGCCCGAGCCACCGAGCCGCCCGAGCCACCGAGCCGCCGTTGCCGCCGAGCCGCCCGAGCCGCCGTTGCTGCCGAGTCGCTGGTACTGCTGAGCCGCCGAGCCACCCTGTCCACTACACCCTGTCACTGCGGTCGCGGCCCCGTTCCTGCTGGCGAGCCTCGGTCCTTCTCGCCTGCCCGGTAAGAACAGCACCTCCTGCACTGCCCTTACCCTACTGTTCGCGCTACTAGTCTACTGCTGTCATGGCTACCCCCAGTGTCCTCGCTTTTGACGCTGAGGGTCGGGCCATTGACTTTGACGTCTGGGTAGATGACCTGCAGCTTTTCCTACAGTGCGATAGGGCAGACGGTCTCTCCCTCTTTGACCTCACCTCTGGTGCCTCTCCTGCCCCTGCTGCTGATGCCGACGCCACTGTTCGCTCACAGTGGGCCACACGCGATGCTGCTGCACGTCTTGCTGTGCGTCGCCACCTGCCTACCTCTGAGCGTGCGCACTTTAGCCAGTACAAGAGTGCTCACACCTTGTACGACGCTGTAGTTGCGCGCTACTCCTCCCCTGCCACTGCTGCACTGAGCCGCCTCATGCTACCGTACCTCTTCTCTGACCTTGCTGCCTTTCCCACAGTCGCTGACCTCATTACGCACCTCCGCACTAGTGACACTCGCTACCGCGCTGCGCTTCCTGCTGAGTTCTGCGCCAAGAACCCCCCCCCCATGTACATCACCCTCTACTACATAGTCACCCGGCTCCCTGACTCCCTTCGCGTAGTCAGGGACCACTTCCTCTCAGTTTGCCCCACCACTCTCACCGTTGACCTCCTCGAGAAGGCCCTCCTAGCAGCAGAGAAGAGCATAGTCGCTGTAGGAGCCTCTCGTGGTGACCCTCGCACCCCCGTCTTTGAGGGGTGTTCCCCCTCCCCCCTTTTGCCCTCTGTTGCCTCTGCTGCTGCGGCCGACCTCGTTGGTTTCGAGTCGGTCGGCGCTGCGTCTGCCCCGAGCGGGAGACGCAGCACCGGCAAGGGCAAGGGGGTCACGGGTGCTGGAGGGGCTGGCGGGGGTGGCGGAGGTGGCGGTGGCGGCAGTGGAGGGGGTGGGGGTGGTGGTGGGAGTGGTGGCGGGGGTGGAGGTGTCGGTGGCGGCAGTGGAGGCGGAGGCGGCGGCGGCGGTGGCGGTGGGAGCGGAGGTGGCGGAGGTGGCGGCGGTGGAGGAGGCGGCGGCGGAGGAGGTGGAGCTGGTCGGGGTGGCGCTGCGCAGAGGGTCGGCTCCGGTGGTGGTCAGCGCCAGCAGCAGCAGCAGCGGCGGCAGCAGCGCACTCGTGACATCCCCCCCCCTCAGCAGCTCCGTGAGTGGTACGCTGCACGCCAGCGGGGTGGGGGTACTGGTCCGTGCACCTACGTCCTACGCACCGGCGACCGCGCGGGTGAGCAGTGCGGGGGTGCGCACTCCACCCAGCGCTGCTTTGGCCGCCTGACGGACGCTTGGTGTCACCAGTTCCCTGAGGCCACTGAGATCCCCCGCTGGGGCGAGCTGTCTAGGGCGGGTGTAGCTGTCTTTGACCTTGACTTTGATGCTATTCTTGCTGCCATGTATGCTGTGACTATTAGTGATGAGGGTGACTGTTACCGGTGTTTTCCGCCCGACCCGGGCATTGAGACGGCTGCTCTAGGTACTGGTGAGGCTGCTGCTCTAGGTGCTAGCGAGGCTGCTGCTCTAGGTGCTCGTGCGTCTGCTCCCTCAGGTGCTGGTGAGTCTGCTCTCTCAGGTACTGCGTCGGCTTCGGTCTCCCACACCTTCACCCTTGACTCGGGGGCTTCTCGCTCCTTCTTTCGAGACCGCACCACACTCACGCCGCTTGGCCGGCCAGTTGCAGTCTCTCTGGCAGACCCCTCTGGGGGTCCTGTCCTTGCTCACTTCTCCACTGTCCTCCCGTGTCCGGCGGCCCCCTCTGGCACCCTGTCTGGTCTTTACCTCCCCTCATTCTCTACGAACTTGGTGAGTGGTGCTGACCTACAGGATGCGGGGGTTCACCAGTTCACTCCTGCGAGTCAGCGGGTGACCCACTGCACGGACGCTCGGACAGGCCGACACCTGGCCACGTTTACACGTCGGCCGGGGTCGAGCCTGTACACACTGACCACTGCGTCTCCTCCAGTCACTGCGTCTGGTCAGGTAGCTGAGTCGGGTCAGGTGTTTGCTGCAGCGTCCAGGTCTGGTCCTGAGTCTGCCCCCTGTTCGTGTCGCCTCCTGTCGCACGAGACTCTCCTCTGGCCTTCTGCGAGCCTACTGTCGTGCACGAGGCATCCGCCAGACCTTCACGCTTCCGGACTCTCCACAGCAAAATGGGATTGCTGAGCGCCGCATTGGCATGGTCATGGGCGTCGCCCGTACGTCCATGATGCATGCGGCTGCCCCCCATTTTCTGTGGCCGTTTGCGGTTCGGTACGCGGCGCATCAGATCAACCTTCACCCCAGGGTCTCCATGCCGGAGACCTCCCCAGCTTTGCTGTGGACGGGGAAGGTTGGCGATGCGTCTGCGTTCCGTGTCTGGGGATCTCGGGCGTTTGTCCGCGACTTGTCTGCGGACAAGCTGTCCCCTCGTGCTGCTCCTTGCGTCTTCCTTGGCTTCCCCCCTGACGCGCCAGGGTGGCAGTTCTACCACCCCACCTCTCGCCGTGTTCTGTCCTCCCAGGACGTCACGTTTGACGAGTCGGTCCCCTACTACCGCCTCTTCCCCTACCGCACTCCGTCCCTCCCCCCGCCACCGCTCTTCCTTGTGCCAGGTCCCCCCCCGGTAGACCCCCTCCCCCCTCAGGGTCCTGCCCCTTCAGGTGTGTCCCAGGTAGACGCCGTCGAGCCTGTCGAGGTTACTGGTGACTCTGGTGCTGCTGAGGGTGCTGAGCCTGGGGGTGCTGACTCTGGGGGTGCTGAGCGTGTGAGTGCTACGCCTGGGGGTGCTGAGCCTGAGGGTGCTACTCCTGGGGGTGCTGAGCCTGGGGGTGCTGAGCCTGGGGGTGCTACTACTGGGGGTGCTGAGCCTGGGGGTGCTGAGCCTGGGGGTGCTACGCCTGGAGGTGCTGAGCCTGGGGGTGCGGAGCCTGAGGGAGCTGGGCCTGCTCGTGTGGCGTCTGGCGGTGCTGAGCCTGGAGGTTCTCCGGGTGCTTCGTCTCGGCGGGAGCCACTCTCTCCACAGGAGCTGCGCGAGTGGTTTGCCCGGCGCTGGAGGCGTGCTGCTGGAGCTGGAGGTTCTTCGGCTGCTGAGGGTGCTGGTGCCGCGGGTCCCGGAGGTGCTCGTACTGGGAGTACTGGAGCTGCTGGGCCTGCGGGTACGACTGGAGCTGGAGCTGCTGAGGGTGTTGGCACTGAGGCTACTGCTGTCGGTCCTGGAGGCGGTCCTGCTGGGGGTGCTACTGGTGCTGCTGGAGGTACTGGAGCTGGAGGTGCTGCTGGCGCTGGTGCTGCCGCTGGGGGTACTGGTGCTGTCCCTGCTGTGTCTGGAGTCGCCGCGCGGCCTCGGCCGTACTTCGTTCCGCTCCTTCAGCAGGTTCTTGGTCTCCCGCCTTCTACTGGTCCTCCTCCTCCCTTAGAGTGTCCACAGCCTGTCCCGTCACAGTTCCAGTTACAGCCGGCCTCCCCACTGCCCGCTCCTTCTCCCTACACTGGTCCTACTGGAGGTCTGGCTGAGCGTCGTGAGCCTGCGTCTCGCCCTGCGTCGCCTGTCCGTCTTGCTCGCACTAGTGGTCGTGGTTCGCGTCAGCGTCCTCCTCCTGTCCCTGGCACGCACCGGATGTCTCTGCGTCCGTCCACTGCTCCTCTGCGTGCCCCTTTGCCTTCTCCTCCTGAGTCCTCTCTTCCTGCTCTTCCCGACCCGGAGTCGGACTCTCTTCGTGCTGCCAGTCCTACTGTCACTGCTGCGTCTGCCCTAGTTGCTGAGCTCGTCGACTTTGCTGCTCGCTGTCGTCTAGACTACGCTACTCGTCTTGTCGTTGCATCTGAGTCTGTCTGTCCTCCGTCCGTCGGGGGTGAGTGTGCCCTTGGCACGGACGTCCTTGAGGACAGGCAGGAGGAGTTCCAGTGTTTGGCTGCTGCTTCACCTCATCTCGTGTCCGTACTGCTTACCCCTGAGGGAGACCCGGATGCACTTGACATCCCGACTCCGCGCTCTTACGCGGAGGCGATAGAGGGTCCCTACTCCTCTCAGTGGCAGGCAGCTATGGACACAGAGATGGCTTCCTGGAAGTCCACAGGCACCTACGTTGACGAGGTTCCCCCGCCTGGGGCGAACATCGTCAGTGGCATGTGGATTTTCAGGGTGAAGCGACCGCCGGGTTCTCCGCCTGTCTTCAAGGCGCGTTACGTGGCTCGTGGCTTCAGTCAGCGGCAGGGAGTTGACTACTTTCAGACCTTCTCTCCCACCCCGAAGATGACCACTCTTCGGGTACTGCTGCACATAGCTGCTCACCGCGACTACGAGCTGCACTCTCTTGACTTCAGCACTGCTTTCTTGCAGGGCAGCCTGCATGAGGAGATCTGGCTGCGTCGCCCACCTGGCTTCACTGGGTCTTTTCCTCCTGGCACCCAGTGGAGCCTCCGGCGGCCAGTCTACGGTCTCCGCCAGGCACCGCGTGAGTGGCACGACACACTGAGGACTACACTTGCGGCTCTTGGGTTTGCTCCCTCTACTGCCGACCCGTCGCTGTTTCTGCGCACCGACACTTCTTTGCCGCCGTTCTACATCCTCGTGTACGTCGACGACTTGGTCTTTGCCACAGCTGACACTGCTGGACTCGCCCACGTGAAGTCCGAGCTGCAGAAGAGACACAGGTGCACAGACCTGGGTGAACTGCGCAGCTACCTTGGCTTGCAGATCACCCGGGACAGAGCACGCCGCACCATTACCCTGACTCAGTCACACATGGTGCAGCAGGTCCTTCAGCGCTTCGGCTTCACGTACTCCTCGCCTCAGGCCACTCCTCTGCCTACTCGCCACTCGCTCTCAGCTCTGCCTTCGGATGAGTCCGTAGAGTCGAGTGGCCCGTACCTAGAGCTTGTTGGCTGCCTCATGTACCTGATGACCTGCACACGACCTGACCTCGCATACCCTCTTAGCATTCTCGCACGCTATGTTGCTCCTGGGAGACACAGACCGGAGCACATGGCTGCAGCGAAGAGGGTGTTGCGTTACTTGTGCAGTACGTCGGGCATGGGGCTTGTGCTTGGAGGGCAGAGTCCAGTGGTCCTCACTGGGCACGCAGACGCTTCTTGGGCTGACGACCAGGCTACGCAGCGGTCGTCACAGGGTTACACCTTCAGCCTTGGTTCCGGCTCTGTTTCGTGGCGGGCTACCCGCTCGTCTTCTGTTCTCGGCTCCAGTTGTGAGGCTGAGATCTACGCCGGGGCCATGGCTGCACAGGAGCTTCGCTGGCTCACCTACCTGCTGACTGACCTCGGAGAGCCGCCTCGTTCTCCTCCAGTGCTGTACGTAGACAACAAGGCCATGCTGGCCTTGTGTCGAGAGCAGAGACTGGAGCACAGAACGAAGCACATTGCTCTCCGCTACTTCCTTGCTCGTGAGCTACAGCAGCGTGGTCAGCTGCGGCTTGCGTACGTGGCCTCTCAGGCCAACACTGCTGATATCTTCACCAAGGCACTTGCGCCTTGTGATCATCAGCGCTTCTGTACTCAGCTGGGTCTTGTGCCTACCTTGCCTCACTTGCTCACCCCTTGACCTTGTTTGTACTGTTGCATATATATATACACCTGCTCTTGCTTGTCTAGCCTTATATATATATATGTAATCCTGCATGTGAACTGGCCTTGTGGCCTTGAACTTGTGCTCAGAATGTGTGGTGACTTTGTGATCCACCCTGAGCTTGCTTTGCTTTGCTTGACTGGTCTTGTGACCCCTTGTTCTCCCCCACTTTGCCTATGGGGGTGTGTCAGATTTATATGACATAGCTACAGTAGGCTATAGTGGGGTAGCACATATGGGGTACAGTTTTCTAGGGTTTACATTTGTACCCAACTTTCCCTTACTCAATCCATTTTCCTCGTAATATTCACACATGTAACCTGTACGGTTACGCCTGTTGCCATTCCTCGATGGTAGGTCAAACGTCGGTCCAGATGGTCAACAGTCGCGACAGTTGTCTCTTGCGACTGTTGACCTTCCTGCCCTTGATACGGGCTGATCCGATATCTCGGTTGTTGCTGCTTCGATAAAGTCGGGTGCGATACTGCTGCACCTACGGGAATGCTAAGTATAATTCCCTTCACACTCCAACAAATGCTTAGAAAGCGCAAGAATCCCTATATGCGTAGGGAAAAGCATTCAACAACCTGAATGTTATTGCATATTAGTGTGCCTCATGTTCAAATACACATATTAGAGCCATTTTGGCTGGGTTCTTGCGCAAAGAAAAATTCGGCGCCTATATTTCGACTGCTTTTGCCGACAAATGCCTATAAGTGCATTAATCCCTATAGGCGTAGGGAAAATCATTCAACAACATGAATGTTATTGCATATTCGAGTGGCTCATGTTCAAATACACCTATTAGAGCATTTTCTGTGCTGGCGCCAAGACTTCTAAGAGCATACTTGTGAAGGCATAATACGTAGTAAAGGAATTGCTCACAAAGAAGATCCGAAAATTTCAAGGCACCAATTTCAAAGGCCACCACCTTCCAGCGCGGGCACGTAACGAGTACAAATGGACCGATTGCGGGAATTTCTTCCCTCCGATATTTCCAAGGGAGTAGGTTTGCAAATTTGCAACTTCATTTTGCTGAACTACCCTGTGAGCAGTTCCCGAGGTTAGCGTCAGCGACAAGCCACACAAATCCGTCAGCTATTGTCCGAGGTTACCAATCCTAATAAGTGAGGAGACGATAGTGTCATCGTCACGCATTGTTCTGGCTTGAGATTGAGAATCCGATGTAAGTTTCGAAGCTTCGTCTCTAGACGCGCTCCGCCGTCAGTATTTCGTAGGTTTTAATCGGTGCGGTCGAAGCATTTCATTGTCCAGTTTTCCTGACGCCACCGTTCTGTGACAGACCATCAGTCTAGAATCGACTTATCCGATCGGCTCCGTGCGATTTTCACGTCTCCGTTAGACATTCTCCTGTTTCTGACTGGGCTTAAACATTGTTTGGACGGAATTGTGACGGATTTGGTCGTTTAAGTTCGAAATGATGGGAGACGACGATGATTGGGGTCCTGATCTCATGGCCGACGCGTTGGAGCTGGTGATGAAGGCGGAGGCCGAAAAGGCGGCGAAGGAAGGCCAGCAGAACCACCAGCAGTATCGTCAGCACCAGCAGCAACAGCAGCATCAGCACCACCAACAGCAGCCGCAGCAGAATTCGCATCTACCAAAGCAGAACCAGCAACTTCAGCAGCAGCAGCAACATAATCAACACGCACAACAGCATCAGTGGAGTTCACTACATCAGCCTCACCAGGCGAAGCCATATCAGCAACATCAGCACCATAACGTTTCCTCCTATCATCATGACCAAAAACAGCAGCAAATCCCACATTTTCACCAGCAGCAGCACAACCAGAAACAGCCACCACCAATGCAGCAACAGGCTCCAATTACTGAAAACCGCAATCAAGAATCCAGCATCCATCCTCCTTATCAGAATGGCACTGCGTGGCCCAATAACGAGACTCATCAGAAGATCAACCAAGGTCCTGCTTCTTCTGACGGCCGATCCGCTCCACACTCCCTCCACGCCCAACAACCGAACCTGTCTTCCGGAGCTGCACCTTCCAGGCCTGCGTCAATGGTTCGGACCAACTCTTCAGCCCCCCCTCCAGCTGTCTACGGCCGAGCGAAGGGAGATCGCAGGTTCGGTGCCCTCTTCCCAGCACCAGGCTTCGCAGCATCCCCCATCGCCCCTCCCCTACCCACCATCCCATTGGCTCCTCCTGTCCCCCCAACACCTCCTTCTCCCCTTCCAAACTCTGCCTTTCCTCCCCTTCGTGCTCCTGATGCTGCCACTGCTCCTGCTCCTGGCGTTACTGAATCTGGTGGCTTTCAAAGGAGGAGTATGCATGAACCTGGGAGCAGCCAAGGCGGATGGGACCCAAGGCGCCAGCTGTCAAGCGCCAGAAGCAGTCCTTGAATGAACAGTTTCAAGGCATGGATGACCAGTACCAAGGGATGCATGAACAGTACCAAGGCATGGATGAACAGTGCCAGGCCGTGGGTGAAGAGCACAAAGCAGGAGATGACCGGAAAGAACGGAAAGAAGGGCGCCTTGAGGAGGAAGCGGCTGGATCTCTGAGGGAGAGGCTGAGGGAGAAGGAAGCAGCGATGGAGGGTCTGCTGGCGAAACTCCAAGAGGTGAGTACAATGTCTCTGTTTATTCCAGGCAACATGATTTCTTTCTTGGTACTGAAATAGCTGCTGGTCAATATCAATGTTCCGCAGTTATGCCGTTTTGGCCTGCTTTCTGCTCCCATTCTTCTTGTTTGTTTTCTGCACCCTGATTCCCGTTCTATTTGAACAGGCAGAGAAACAGCTGAGGTGCCTTCGCCAGCGAGATTCACATTCCGCTGCCACTGTTCCTGGCCAAGACAAGACCCAGGTTAGGCATGGCCCAGGGTTGTTGTCGTTGTTGTTGGGTTTAGGATTGGGCTCGCTGAGTCTGTTTCTTCACCAAAAGTTACTTGCTTTCTACCCCTTAGCCCCCAACGTCATGCTGTCCTTCAGCCTGTAGTTCTCTTCGTTTTTCACCAACCCTGCAACTTCACTTGTTTGCTTAGTTACTCACCAAGCGCCGTGTCATTGCGCGCCCTCTCTCCTGTACATGTGTCTTGTTTTCTTCACTTATTCTCTCGTCTACTTTTTTCCAGATGGATAGCAAAGACATTGAGATTGAGCGTCTCACAGCCGAACTCCTGTTCAAAGTAAGATGCTCAAATTAGCTCACACTCTGCTGTGCCACTTTTGAGAATTCTCAAAAGTCGCACAAATATAGGTTATCTCCTTAAGCATGTTCAGGTAGACGAGTTCAGTCACTCCTTCTGTACTCCCTCACTCAAAATTCCAGTCCTTCCGTTGTTGAAATGATGTCAAAATTGCAACAGTTCGTTCTTCTTCGGGGTACGTTGATCTGCGCAGAAGAGGAGTTGGAGAAGAGGAGCTTTGTTCATATCCTCTTTTGTTCCTTTGCCATGCACGGATATGCGGGTACTTGCAGGAAGAGGAGATGGACCAGGTTCGCAAGCAGCGAGAGGAGGAGGAGCAAAGGCGACAGGCAGCAGAGGCAGAAGCAAGGGCTTTAAAGGAGAAAATGGCGAAGGGTGGGACAGAGAGGTGAGAATAGGAAGGGATGAGACGTTCGAATGATGAAAGGTGAGACATTGGGGAGGAGGAGAAACGTGGGGATGTGATTGACTTGCTGCTTCCATGTCGCATCCTCCTGTTTTCTTGTTACTCGTTTATCCGTTTTGATTCGTTCTATCTCTCCCATTTTCGGTGGTTCTATTCCACACCGACCATCTCCAGGGAGCCACGTGTGCAGGAGGATCGTGTCGAGATTTTGGAGCAGCCAAATGGAAAGGATGTGAACGCAGGCAACACAGAAGAGCCACGCCGTTCTGCTGCTGCTGCTTCTGGAGCTGCTGCTGCTGGTAGTGGTGGTGGTGGTGGCAGTGGAGTTGCTGCTGCTGCTTGCGGTGGTGGTGGTGGTACTGCAGCTGCTGCTTCTAATGTAGCTGCTGGTGCTGCTCGTGCTGATTCTGGCGCTGCAACTGGTGTCACTACCGCTTGTCCTGTTGCCGATGCTGCTACGGGTGCTGCTGCTGCTGCTGGGGCCTCTGGAACCGTTGCTGCTTCAGCCTCGGACCGTGACATGGCATGTTTGCACAGTGCCCTGCAGAGAGTGTGGAACGGCCGAATGCCCTCCCCATCTCCTACCTCGCACTTAGCTAAGTGTGACAGATCACTGCCTGTTGGGAGTACCGTGAGAGTTGGCAAGTACGGTACAGTGAGCATGGGAGGGGGATCGGAGAATAGGCAGGAGGAGCAGAGGCTGGAAAGGAGAGGGGGTGAGGGGAAGCAAGCAAGTGGGAGGAAGCAGGGGAATGATGACATGGCATTGATGGAAGCTGACAGGGATGATGCCGGCGCTGACTCAGCGCATGACCACAGTGAGTCAGCACGCAGATTCGATGAGTCAAGATCCATGATGCGTGACTCAGCAGAGCACAGCCGGTTTGTGGCATCACAGCTGATAGCGCACTGTCCTCAAGACTTTCTATCCCTCGTTGCAACTCCCCCTGCTGCTCACTTCCCTCCTGCCCTGGGTGCAACACCCGTTGCCACTCATCTATTCAACACTCCCACAGAAAAGCCCACTCGTGTGGAGCACAGACCCATTGCCTCAGGCTCAGGCCCACTACAGGTGCTGCATTGTCGCACCCCCCCACACGCACAGACTCATAGTCTAGGCACGGCACGTCTCCTTTTTTCTGCAGATGAAGCAAGGGGATCAGCGGTTTCTCTGGGACGGAGAGGTGGAGAGGAGGATGTGCGGAGTGGGGGAGTGGGTGGGGATGCCATGTGCGCAAATGTGCAGCAGCAACTGCAGATCGGCTTCTCAAATGTGAGTGATGATGATATTTAGTTGCGTGCATGTGTGTCAAGTTCTAACAATGTGTGCATGGTAGTTGTGTGCATGGTAGATGTGTGCATGGTGGATGTGTGCATGGTGGATGTGTGCATGGTGGATGTGTGCATGGTGGATGTGTGCATGGTAGATGTGTGCATGGTAGATGTGCGCATGCTGTGTGTGCATGGGATTTCCTTGAGTCGCCTCAGAAGGTCTACATGCATGGAATCTCTAACATGTCAGTCGTTTGATTTAGGCCCAGCTTCCTGTCGTCCATCCAAACGCACTTTCTTTCCTTGTGAGAATTCTCAAAAGTGAATTCCATCTTTTGAGAATTCTCAAAAGTTCTTTCCTTTTGCGGCGCCTCGGATATCCATCCAAACCCACTTCGTTTCCTCTCCCCCCCCCCCCCCCCCCCCCCCGCAAAATACCGCAAATGATTGCGTGACTGACTTATCCTGCTGAGCTCTCATGACCTTCTTCTCAATCCCCTCCTCTTATCCCCAGCTTTTGTATTGCTCACTCTCCCTCACTAACTCTTGCGTTATCATCCCCTTCCTGTCCCCATCGTTATCCCTACCCCACTTCCTCTGAAATCACACCAGCTCCTGATTGGCATCGACTCGCCCCACCACTTCTTCTCCACGCTGCTGGATTTCGCCTGCTCACCAGTGATTCTATCCCAGGTAACGCCAGTCCCAGGTAACGCCTGGTTGAGACTTAGTGTTAGCGGGAGCACATCTCGAAGCCGAGGTACATCTTGAAACAGCTTTGCACACACGCACGCGTCGGATTCTCGTGCCTGCATTTGCTTTCCATCCTCCTCTTTTGTTCTTTGAGTCGGCTAAAGAAACAACCTGACTTGACAAACGCTTGAGTCGACTAAAGAAACAACCTGACTTGACAAACGCTTGAGTCGACTAAAGAAACAACCTGACTTGACAAACGCTTGAGTCGACTAAAGAAACAACCTGACTTGAAAATCGCTTGAGTCGACTAAAAAAACCCTCGACTTCAAGAGCTTTTGAGTAAACTCAATAAACGGCCGAGTCTTGTGCCTGCATTTGCTGTTCACCCTCCTCTTTGGGTTTCCCTCCCTCTCCGCTCCATCGTTCTCGCTTGCAAGCTTGTAGAGGCCTCTCTGTGCTGCTTCGAGTGGACCTTTGGTTTAACGTTTGCCTTATTCATCATGTCCCTCCTTTACATCCCTTCCCCTCCCTCCCACCCCTTGTCCAGCCATCTCGCCTGCAAGCGTGGCAAGCCCTCTCCTTTCTGCTCCGAGTGGACCACACCTGCCGCTCTCTTCTGCTCTCTGCTGCCTCCTCTGCTGCAGCGGCCACTGCATCTGCTGCTTCTGGTGCTGCTTCCCCACTTGCTGCTGCGGCTGGTTTTCCAGATGCTGCTGTTGTTACTGCTGCTGCTGCTGTTGCTGCAGCTGATGTTTCAGATGCTGGTGTTACAGCTGCTGCTGATGCTGCCCCCCCGGGGGAAACAGGAGGTTTGAGAAGGAGCGCGAGGAGGAGAAGAGGAGGGAGGCAAGGAAAACCGGTTGAAGATACTGAAATGGCTGATGCCGATGGGGGAAATGGTCATGGTGATGGTGATGGTGATGCTGACGATGACGGTGGTGGTGGTGAGAATGACAGGAAGCGGATAGGAGAAGGAGCACAGGAGGGCAGATCAGACCAAGCTGCACAAGTGCGGGTCCCACCAGTGCGTCAAGGGGTCCTGACTGAAAGGAGATCGCTGGTGCATGGTGAGGGTGGTGAGGGGGGGGAATTCGAGACGGACACGGGTGAGCAGCAGGGCATGTGGGTGAGGGAGTGGAGGCTCGTGATGGCTGCTGCATTTCCTACAAGCGTAGCAACTGAATGGACTGATCTAACCGTGGAAACATTGAGACGGAAACTACTGACAGAAGCAGATGCAGCAGCAGCAGCGGCAGCTCAGGCAGCAGCAGAAGCAGCAGCACCGGCAGCAGCAGGTGTGGCAGCGGGAAGCATCATAGCTTCAGCACTAGCAGCCATTCAGATTCTGGTTGCTTCTAGTGCCTCTCTCACAGACCGCCACGTGTCCTTCTCTCATTTGCTGCCAAGGCTCCTGACGTTGCTGGCAGCGTGGGAAGCAGGAAGAGTGAAGGGTGATAATAACGAGAGAGTGAGGGTGGTAGGGGTGGTGATGAAACTGATCCTGCTGCTGCTCCTCCCGCTTCCATCACATTTCCTGGATAAGCACATTCTGCTACAGTCACCAAATTCTGGGACAGTGAGTGATGATGAGCACTCAGCAGTGACATCTGCTGCTGCTTTTGCTGGCCTGCTGCTAGACGTCCTGTGCTCCCTCTTACAGGCCACTGCTACTATGCAAGTCCACCGCAGGACACAGGCACTTAGCATGCAGACCCGAACTGTTTCAGGAGGATTCAGCCATCGTGAAGCTTCTTATAAAGGGGACAGGGGGGGGTTGGCGAGAGGGTTCAAGGCTGCGTGTGAGGGGGAGAGGAGGGCCTTGAGACGGCTCAAAGGTTTTGGCACATCTCTAAGGGGGGTGGGGGAAGGGTACGGGTGTGCGTGTGGAGTGATAGAAGTGCTGGGGCTGCTGTGTGGCTGGGCTGCTGGGAAAGGGATGGAGGAGGGGAGTGGTTTTAGTGGAGAGGAGGGGAGGAGTGGAAGTAGAGGGAGTGAGTGTGGGAGGAAGGAAGGCGAGGAGACGGGAGGTTTGCAGAGGGTGAAGCAAGAGGAGCAGAGACGGATGCTGGAGCAGGGGGAAGGAATTGGGCAGGACACAGCAGGACGGGTGAGAGCAGGAGGAGGGGTGACAGCAGGAGTTCAGGTGGAAGGGATGGATGTGGAGGGGGGGAGCGCTCTTGCTGCTACAGGTGCTGCCAATGCTTCAGCCACTGCTAATGCTACAGCCGCTGCCAACGCTACAGCCAATGCTACAGCCTCTGCGAATGCTGCTGAAGCTGCAGGTGTTGGGATGAGGAACGGGAGGGGCACCGGAGCGGTGGAGAGCGGTTGGGAGGTAATGGCCCTCGTTCTGCCTCGGCTCTTTGACGTTCTGGCGACTGAAATAGCGCGGGTGAGGGAGGTGGTTGAGGGAGTGGGGATGGATACAGCGGGGTTGGAGGGGGTAGGGGTGGACCCAGCGCACGTTCAGGTCGTTGGGGGCTTGGTTCGGTCACAGGCTCGGGTGCTTACAGGCTTGGTTCGGCTGCTCCGGACACTGCTGGTGCAAGCTGCTTCGCTCCCCCTCCCTGCGTCTCCTTGCTCCTCCCCGCAACGCCAAAGCAGCCATGCTGCTAGTGGCAATAATGAGGCTGGCGCTGCTGATACTGCTGGCGATAGTGCTGCGGGCGCTACTGCTGCTGCTGCTGCTGCTTGTGCTAATGCGGAAGGGTCTTCTATTGCAACAAGAGTCGAGGCATTCGCGCTAATCGGCGAAATGAGCAAGAAAGTACAGTATTCGATCTTCCTGGCGAGAACACCAAGAACTTGGTGATGAGCTGGAAGGGCAATGAGCTGGAAGATGACGGATGACAGCGGGAAACACCCCCCAATCCTATTGGCTCGCGTATTTTTTCCTCGATCACCCGTTGCCAAATCATCTGGCCCGATCAAGTTCCCAAGGAACAAATTGAACCGCGAGAGCACCTGAACCTTCCGTTCACAAATCTTGTAGCGATTTCAATGCAATCCCGCACGTCACGCACATTTTTTCGCGAATACTCATAGTCGGTCTATAGATGTAAAATACTTGTGCCACGTCACACCACCTCCTAGAAAAATATTTTCCTGCCCCATACCCAAACCAATTGTACCCGATATCAGAGTGCCCGTCAAACCACACCACAACAATACGCGTCCTCAGCAGATCCGCTTATATTCAGTCTGAAACCACGTAAGTTTACCAACCACCCTCTGAATTGTACTGTACATTTGAAATTAGTCGAGGGATGCCGGGTCGCGTTGGGATGAGTTTGAATGAACACATTTCGGCCGCCTCGAATTTTGAGTTCATTGGGAATGCTTTCTGACATATTCTTTCTAGGCGGAATTATCTTTGGCGGCGCCAGACACCACAGCCTCCAACGAAACACCACTCCAAGTCGTCACCATTCAACAGCGGCGGCGATGATCTCTGCCACTCGTTTCACTATTTCGCAACCTAGCTTGCTATTCTAACGGCACCAATGCACCATACCAGAGGCCCCGCGCTTGATCGCATCGCGCGGCAGAGATTCGCCAAAACACACAAAAGCTTTGGGATGAGTCCACATGCACATTCGGTCGCGTTGAAAGTCCCCATGGAAAATGTTCTTCGACATTTCCTAGGCGGGGAAATTCTATGGTGGCGGCGGCCATCACATCTCTATGGTGACCAATATTCATCGGTGGTGGCTATCATCTCCACCACCCGTTCAGCATATTCCTGTAACCCGCAAATTATTCGAACCCCTTCCCGCCCAGTACTAGCAGCAGCGAAGGTCCGCACCGCGTTGCGCCACGCCTCACCGCCAACGGCAACTTTCCGAACCTGCATCACCTCACCGCAAACACTTTGAGACGCGCCGCTCCGCTTGCGCAGCCCGCACCGCACCCAGAAGTTTCCGACCCGCGTCGTCTCTATCGACACTCTCCTCCTTCCAACCACCTTGTTCGATCGTGCCTTTCCTTCCATCAGCGCACTACAACTTCCTATTGTCAACTTCACTCTCGGATTTCAACCATCCCAAATATTTCGTCGGAAGAACTTCTTAAGGGAGCTCCGTCCCCGTAAGCTCCGTCTCCATGAGCTCCGTCTCAATGTGCTCTACCTGTGGAATTCATGCGAAAAGCTCTATTGAGCAATCATGAAGCCACCCGAGCTAGTACAAGGGAAAGGCCAAGGCAAGCAGCAGCGCGTCTTAGAGTCCGCGTAGGTTCGCGTAGGCGTTAGAGTTAGCGTAGAGTCTAGAGTCGTGGGTGGGGTGGGTGGGTAGAGAGTCTAGAGAGCTGCTTGCAAGCCTTGGCCGGAACCTTGTACTACGCCCTGTTCTTCGCGGCGAGAACTACATCGTGAGAAACTTCTTATGGCGAGAACTCCACCGTCAAGATCGCGAGAACCCGGGAAGATCTTTACGGCAAGTTGACCACCGCGATATAATCCACCGTGATTATCATCGGGAAGTCTTCGCTTCGAGATCTTCTCAAGACGATCTTCAATGGCGCTTTCCCCGTCGCTGTTGGCGATTACTTCGGCGCAGCTACCAAGGCGAAGGAGATGGAATTGTCATCTCTTTTAAGTGGACGTAAGTAGCTCTTTTGCAACTTCTGCAACTGTTTCTCTCGTATTTTGCAACTGTTTTCTCATTCTTCATAAGGTTTTACTGGATAAGCTCTAACGGATTTTCCTTCTTCCTGCAGGACACCGCCTTGGCGCTTTTCGACCAATCTCTATCGGAAGTCAAGCCGAGGTCGTGGAATGCCTCGTCGTGACGCGGCCTACTGCTTCGCCTCGACGCAACGATGCGCTTCTTCCGTCGCATGGTGGCAATCGCAAGGACATCTTCGCCAAAGTGGACATCACTGCGACAAAGTCGCCTACTGCTCCGGCAGATCCTTGTCTACTGCGACATCTTCGTCGCCGCAAGGAGACGATCTTCGTCCTTCTCTTGGTAAGTATCGTCAATTTCAGCTTGTATTTTCTTTACGTTTTACTAACTTGCTCTTTTGTGTTTTGTGTCGTGCAGAAGGAGCGGGATGGGAAGCTGGCGGCGAGCAAGGGGGTTAACGAACTGGTCTCCCTCTCCTGGTAAGTCTCGTCGATTTCAGCTAGTTATGTTTTCGTTTACTAATTATCTCTTGTGTGTTCTCTGTCTTAGTGCAGAAGGAGCGGGATGGGAGCTGGCGACGACCAAGGGAGTGAGTTCTCTCCCTCTCTTGGTAAGTATCGTCGATTTCAGCTAGATTTTTCTTTACGTTTTACTAATTTCCTCTTGTGTGTTCTCGGTCTTAGTGCAGAAGGAGCGGGATGGGAGCTGGCGGCGACCAAGGGAGTCTCACGGGGAGAGCTCTCCCTCTCTTGGTAACTATCGTCAATTTCAGCTAGAACTATCATTACGTTTTACTAACTTCCTCTTGTGTGTTCTCTGTCTTAGTGCAGAAGGAGCGGGATGGGGAGCTGGCGATGAGCAAGAAGGAACACGGGGAGAGCTCTCCCTCTCTTGGTAACTATCGTCAATTTCAGCTTGTATTCTCTTTACGATTTACTAACTTCCTCTTGTGTGTTCTCTGTCTTAATGCAGAAGGAGCGGGATGGGGAGCTGGCGACGACCAAGAAGGAACACGGGAAGAGCTCTCTCTCTCTCTTGGTAACTATCGTCAATTTCAGCTAGAATTTCCTTTACGTTTTACTAACTTCCTCTTGTGTGTTCACTGTCTTAATGCAGAAGGAGCGGGATGGGGAGCTGGCGACGACAAAGAAGGAAGGAAGAGCTCTCTCTCTCTCTCTCTTGGTAACTATCCTCAATTTCAGCTAGAATTTCCTTTGCGTTTTACTAACTTCCTCTTGTGTGTTCTCTGTCTTAATGCAGAAGGAGCGGGATGGGGAGCTGGCGACGACCAAGAAGGAACACGGGAAGAGCTCTCTCTCTCTCTTGGTAACTATCGTCAATTTCAGCTAGAATTTCCTTTACGTTTACTAATTTCCTCTTGTGTGTTCACTGTCTTAATGCAGAAGGAGCGGGATGGGGAGCTGGCGACGACAAAGAAGGAAGGAAGAGCTCTCTCTCTCTCTCTCTTGGTAACTATCCTCAATTTCAGCTAGAATTTCCTTTGCGTTTTACTAACTTCCTCTTGTGTGTTCTCTGTCTTAATGCAGAAGGAGCGGGATGGGGAGCTGGCGACGACCAAGAAGGAACACGGGAAGAGCTCTCTCTCTCTCTTGGTAACTATCGTCAATTTCAGCTAGAATTTCCTTTACGTTTACTAATTTCCTCTTGTGTGTTCTTTGACTAGATGCAGAAGGAGCGGGATGGGGAGCTGACGACGACCAAGAAGGAACACGAGGAGAGCTCTCTCTCTCTTGGTAACTATCGTCAATTTCAGCTAGAGTTTTCTTTACATGTTACTAACTTCCTCTTGTGCATTCTCTGTCTTAATGCAGAAGGAGCGGGATGGGGAGCTGACGACGACCAAGAAGGAACACGCGGAGAGCTCTCCCTCTCTTGGTAACTATCGTCAATTTCAGCTAGTATGTATTTTACGTTTTACTAACTTATTCTTGTGTGTTCCCTGTTTTAATGCAGAAGGAGCGGGATGGAAGGCTGGCGACGAGCAAGAAGGAACACGGGGAGATCTCTCCCTCTCTTCGTAAGTCTCGTCAATTTCAGCTAGTATGTTATTTACGATTTACTCATTTATTCTTGTGTGTTCTCTGTCTTAGTGCAGAAGGAGCGGGATGGGAGCTGGCGACAAGGGAGGTCAAGAAGAAATGAACGCTTTCCCTATCCTGGTAAGCACGGTCCGATTCCGTTCGCTTTTTATTCTTTCGAGATTTCTAACTTCGAGTTTCGTGCCTCTTGTGAACCAGGAGCGGGAGGAGCGCGTGGCAACAGCGTGAAGGTAAAGAAGAAGAGAACGCTCTCCTTCTCCTGGTAAGCACGGTCTTATTTCGTTCGTTACTTCTTTTTCGAGATTTCTTAACTTCGAGTTTCGTGGCTTGTGAAGCAGGAGCGGGATGAGGAGCAGCACGTGGCAACAGCGGGAGGAAGAAGAATCACTCTCCTTGTCCTGGTAAGCATGGTCTGCTATCTTTCGTTTCTTCTATTTCGAGATTTCTAACTTCGAGTTGGTGTCTTTCGCGCAGGAGCGGGCGGAGGAGGAGCGCAGGCAACACCTGGAGCGGGCTGGGGAGGTACCACGCGGAGAGCTCTCCCTCTCTCTGTAAGTATCGTCAGTTTCAGTTAGTGTTCTGTTTACGTTTTACTGTACTAAGTATTCTTTGTGTTCTGTCTTAGTGCAGAAGGAGCGGGACTCGGAGCTGACGGCGAGCAAGGGGGTGACGGAATGGTTCGGCTCTGCTGGTAAATTCCGTCACTGTTTTACCTCGTTTCCGGTCATCAGTCTTCTGTTTTTGCCCTTTAGCGACTATCTGTTACCTAACGTTTTTTTCCTTGCCCTTCCGTGCCTTTTAAATGCGGAGGGAGCAGGAACAGGGGCAACACCTGGAGCGGGCGGAGGAGGACACGGGGCTAGATCTCCCTCTTCCGGGAAGTTTTGTCAATTTCAGCTGTATTTTCGTTTACGTTTTACTAAGTTTCTCTTTTGTGTTCTGTCTTTGTGCAGAAGGAGCGCCATGGGGAGCTGGCGGCGAGCAAGGGGATAAACTGACTGGTCTCCCCTTTCTAGTAAGTTCCGTCAATTTCAATTTCGTTCTTCCTTATCAAAACACTAACGTCCTCCCTTGGTTTTGGTTTGTGGCCAGGAGCGTGAGCGGGCGAGGAGCGCGGAGAGAGTAGCCGCGCGCCTCGATGGAGCAAGGAGCTTGGAGCGCCGAGCTTGGAGCAACCAGTCGTGTAAGTGGGTCTGGGCCCTGGCTCCCTGGGTGGTTAGGTCTACGTTAGGAGCGTTAGTCAGAACGTTTAGGAGCGGTTAGTCAGATCGTTAGGCTCGAATTAGGCCTAGCTAGGGGACGAGTTAGCCTTAGCTAGGCTCGGATCTGGTTTGCGGTCTAGTCTAGACCTAGGCTCGAATTAGCTAGGACGTTAGGTTCGGACGGTCAGGTGTGGTTGGGCATGGTTGGGTTCGGTTAGGATTGTCTTGATCTTCCCTCTCTTCCTTACGGTGGGACCTGTGGGAGCACCAGCTGTTCCACGGCAGCTGCGACGGCAGGCGCCTGCTCGTCGTGCCGTGGCCCACCAAGACCCACCATGGCGTGGGCTCACAGGTGGGAGGAGGGTGCTAGGTGGGCTTGCAGGTGGGAGAGGCGTGCTAGGTGGGCTTGCAGGTGGGAGAGGCGTGCTAGGTGGGCTTGCAGGTGGGAGAGGCGTGCTAGGTGGGCTTGCAGGTGGGAGAGGCGTGCTAGGTGGGCTTGCAGGTGGGAGAGGCGTGCTAGGTGGGCTTGCAGGTGGGAGAGGCGTGCTAGGTGGGCTTGCAGGTGGGAGAGGCGTGCTAGGTGGGCTTGCAGGTGGGAGAGGCGTGCTAGGTGGGCTTGCAGGTGGGAGAGGCGTGCTAGGTGGGCTTGCAGGTGGGAGAGGCGTGCTAGGTGGGCTTGCAGGTGGGAGAGGCGTGCTAGGTGGGCTTGCAGGTGGGAGAGGCGTGCTAGGTGGGCTTGCAGGTGGGAGAGGCGTGCTAGGTGGGCTTGCAGGTGGGAGAGGCGTGCTAGGTGGGCTTGCAGGTGGGAGAGGCGTGCTAGGTGGGCTTGCAGGTGGGAGAGGCGTGCTAGGTGGGCTTGCAGGTGGGAGAGGCGTGCTAGGTGGGCTTGCAGGTGGGAGAGGCGTGCTAGGTGGGCTTGCAGGTGGGAGAGGCGTGCTAGGTGGGCTTGCAGGTGGGAGAGGCGTGCTAGGTGGGCTTGCAGGTGGGAGAGGCGTGCTAGGTGGGCTTGCAGGTGGGAGAGGCGTGCTAGGTGGGCTTGCAGGTGGGAGAGGCGTGCTTGGTGGGCTTGCAGGTGGGAGTGGGGGAGGGCGTGATGTGAGACGCTTCAAAAGTTGGGATCTGTGGGTGGGAGCACCAGCTGTTCCCCGGCAGCTGCGACGGCAGGCGTCTGCTCGTCGTGCCGTGGCCCACCAAGGCCCACCACGGCGTGGGCTCACAGGTGGGAGGCGCGGTGCTAGATGGGTGGGTAGGCAGGTGGGAGAGGGTGTGATGTGAGACGTCTCTCAAAAGCCGGGACCTGTGGGAGCACCAGCTGTTCCACGGCAGCTGCGACGGCAGGCGCCTGCTCGTCGTGCCGTGGCCCACCAAGTCCCACCATGGTGTGGGGTCGCAGGTGGGAGTGTGCGTGCTACGTGGGTGTTGAGGGGCCTCAAATGCTCCCCCACTCCCTTGCACTCACCCACTCACTGTCATCATGAGATGCATGTGATGAGCACGTTCCTGAGTCTGGTCTTCCCTGCCATCATTACCCATCATTACCGCCATCATTACCCATCATTACCTCCATCCTTACCCATCAGATACACGTGATGAGCACGTTCCTGAGCCTCGCCTTGATTCACAACCGCACACTCGTGCCCGCGCCTGGCTCGTACGACCGAGCCCTCACCGAGACATGCAACTGTGAGTGACATGCAACTGTGAGGTTGCAGGTACGACCAGCTTATGCTAAGCCCGCTTGCCTTTGTTGAGGTGCCTGGAAACTCGTGCCCGCGCCTGGCTCGTACGACCGAGCATTCACCGAGACATGCAACTGTGAGTGCGACGCCCAGCTGTGAGTGCGACACCCAGCTGTGAGTGCGACGCCCAGCTGTGAGTGCGACGCCCAGCTTATACTGATCTAAGCCTGCCTTGGTGCGGACCTGCAACCTCCGCTTCTGAGTATACCCAGCTGTTGAATCATATCTATTCCACTTTAATTGAGACTATTACATTGGCACCATGCTCAACCGCTTCCTTTTCCCTCCATGCTCAACCGCTTCCTTTTCCCACACCCACTCCCCATTTCCCACCCACTCCCCCCCCCCCCATTCTCCCCCCCTCCCCCCCCACCCCCTTTCCCAGCCACCAGCATGGGCGGAGCGTGGGATTGTTATTTCTTCCCCATAGTGAATCCCGACTGTGAGCGCGTGGTCTCGGATATGATCGCCAACAACACCATGCCCTCCCTCTCTCTTCGGACAAGGTGGGCCACAATCGCCTCGCTGCCTCGGCCAACCCACTAACCCCTTCCCTCCCCCCCTCCCCCCCCTCCCCCTCCCCACCCCCTTTCCCAGCCACCAGCACGGGCGGGGCGTGGGGTTGCTACTTCTTCCCCATAGTGAACCCCGACTGTGAGCGCGTGGTATCGGATATGACCGCCAGCAGCACCATGCCCTCTATGCTCCCCCCCCCCCTTCCCCTCCCCCTCCCCTTCCCTTCCTCACCTTTCCCCCAGCCACCAAAACAGGCGGGGCGTGGGGTTGCTACTTCTTCCCCATAGTGAATCCCGACTGTGAGCGCGTGGTATCGGATATGACCGCCAGCAGCACCATGTTCTGCCCTCCGTGTCCTCCGACAAGACAGGGCACAATCCCCTCGCTGCCTCGGCCGACCCACCCACGTGCTCCCCCGCTCCCCCTCCCCTTCCTCCTTTCCCAGCCACAAGCACGGGCGGGGCGTGGGGTTGCTACTTCTTCCCCGTAGTGAATCCCGACTGTGAGCGCGTGGTATCGGATATGACCGCCAGCAGCACCATGCCCCCCATGCTCCCCCCCCCTGCCCCTCCCCCCTCATTTTCCCCAGCCACGGGCACGGGCGGGGCGTGGGGTTGCTACTTCTTCCACATAGTGAATCCCGACTGTGAACGTGTGGTCTCGGATATGACCGCCAGCAGCACCATGCCCGCCCTCTCCTCCGACAAGACAGGGCACAATCGCCTCGCTGCCTCGGCCGACCCACCCCCATGCTCCCCCCACCCCCACGCTCCCCCCTTCCCTTTTCCAGCCACAGGCACGGGCGGGGCGTGGGGTTGCTACTTCTTCCCCGTAGTGAACCCCGACTGTGAGCGAGTAGTCTCGGATATGATCGCCAGCAGCACCATGCCCCCCATGTCCTCCGACAAGACAGGGCACAATCGCCTGGCTGCCTCGGCCGACCCTGTGGTGCATCTCAACTCCAGCTGCGACAGCCAGATGAAGTTTGAGGCCCGTGCTGCTAAGTGAGTTGTAGGGGGAGGGGAAGGGTAAGGGGAAAAGGGGGAAAGGGGAAGGGAAATGGGGGAAGGATGTGCTTTTGAGACGTCTCAAAAACATACTTGAGGACAAACGCGTGGGTGTGTGGGCTAATGATTTAGTGTTGTTGTGACAACTTGAAGGGGGTGAGGAGGTGTGTGTGGGGCCCAAGTGTCAGGAGGAAATACATTCGCATCCTCTCTTCCGTCACACCTCTCCCCTTCTCTCCCTCTTCCCCCTCTCCCGCTCCTTACCTCTGCCACTCACTCTCCCTCCCTCCCCCTCTCCCCCTCTCCCTCGAATGGTCCTTTCATTGACGTATAACTTGGAGTACAGTCAAGAGCAAGAGGAGCCTATATAAGGCTAACTATTCCCTTCTCCCCCTCTCCCCCTCTCCCCCTCTCCCTCTCTCTCTCCCGCACTCTTGTACTCGTGCACCCCCCCACACCCCTCTCCCCCCTTCCAGGTTCCTATTTGCTTCCCAACCTCAAAGCCCCACCCCAGCCCCCCACCCCAGCCCCCCACCCCTGCCCCCCACCCCTGCCCCCCACCCCTGCCCCCCACCCCGCCCTCCAGTGCCCCAGGCTATGGGGCGATGCGTACGCGAGGGGCCCGAATGTGGTGGATTACACTCATTCGGGGAGCAGCCGCACGTTGACACCAAACATCAATGGTGCGACTTTTGAGGCGCCTTAAAGGCCCCAACCCCACCCTATACATGGGCAAACGAGTCGAGTTTTTCCTCGACTCGTTCGAGGGACTCGAAAAGCTCGAGTTTCGAGTTTGCTTTTTCGTCTAAAAAACTCGGTTGCTCGAGTCGAGTTTTGCTCGCGAGTTTCAAAAAACTCGTGAAAAACTCGGCTACCAAACAAGTTTTTTCAAAACTCGCGAGTTTTTGGGGCTCGTGAGCAATTCGCCGCCAGATCTGCTCGCACCTAGCATTTCGCCGCCAGATCTGCTCGCACCTAGCATTCCGCCGCCAGATCCGCCCGCACCTAGATTTCGCCGCTAGATCCGCCCGCACCTAGCATTCCGCCGCTAGATCCGCCAGCACCTAGCATTCCGCCGCTAGATCCGCACGGCATTTCCTTTCACTAAGCTGGTTTCGTGGGGTGGTGGGTAAGGGGGGTGTTTAACAACGAGTCGAGTTTTACTTGCCTCGGACGAGTTTTCTTTGAACTCGTCCGAGTGTTGAAAAAACTCGGTAAAATGGTCGAGTTTCGAGTTGCTTTGTGGCACAAAAAACTCGGCGAGTTTTCCTCGACTCGACTCGTGTGTGACAGAAAACTCGTCAAAACGAGTCAAGTAAAACTCGACTCGTCTTTTGCCCATGTATACCCCACCCCTCCCCCACCTCCCCAGGCTATGGGGCGATGCGTACGCGAGGGCTCCGAATGTGGTGGAGTACATGGGGGCGCAACCGCCTGTTGAGGACAAACACCCCATGGTGCGTGCGTTTCATGGCTCAAAACTAACCCAGGCTATGGGGTGATGTGTGTACATGAGGGCCCCGAATGTGGTGGAGGAGTATATGGGGGAGCAACCACCCGTTGACACCAAACAAACACCTGATGGTGCGTGCGGGTGTGCGCTCGCTTGCTCGTGGGAGTGGTTGTGCAAATGAATTCGCACTGTATGGTACACAATGGCTTTTGAGTCGACTCAATAGTCACCCGAATGTGGTGGGGTATATGGGGGAGCAGCCGCAAGTTGAGACCAAACACCCGATGGTGCGTGCGTGTGTGCGCTCGCTTGCAGGTGTGGTTGTTCAAATGAATCCGCTTGGTTCAGAGTTAGCTGGTTGGTTGGTACACAGGGTCTCGTTTTGAGGCGCCTCAAAACGGGTCTCGTTTTGAGGCACCTCAAAAGTTGCACAAATGAATCCGCTTGGTACATAATTAGCTGGTTGGTACGCAGGGTTATCAAGTCATCCGCATGGTAAACGCCCAGCCAGACCACGTCCTGCCCCATAACCCTCCCTCTTCCCGCCTCCCTCTCCCCGCCTTGCCCCACGGCATCCACACCACGTCTTACCCCTTCCACTACCCCTCCCCTCCCTGCCCTTTTTCCTCGGTCACCTGGCAGGTGCACTGGTGGCGATCCCAGTCATCGCGCTTCATGCTGCGCTCCCCTCCCTCTCTCCCTCCCCCTACACCTGGCTGCCAGGTGCACTGGTGGCGATCCCAGTCAACACGTTTCATGCTGCGCTGGCCCTCGCCTCACACGTGCCACCAAATCAACAAGGAGCGCCACACAGCCTACGGCCTTCTCGCCGCATCCCACCTCTCTCGATACACCGAAACCCAGCGCGTCTTACCCGTCCCCTACCCCTCCCCTGCTCTCCCACACCAACCAGGTGCACTGGTGGCGATCCCAGTCGACACGCTTCATGCTGCGCTGGCCCTCCCCTCACATGTGCCACCAAATCAACAAGGAGCGCCACACAGCCTACGGCCTCCACACCGCATCCCACCTCTCGCGCTGCCCCTCGCCTCCTCTCCCTCTCCTCCTCTACCTCCCCTCCCTCTCTCCCTCCCTTTACCCCTCCGCCTACCCCTCCTCTCCTCTCCCTCTCCCTCCTCGGTCACCAACCAGGTGCACTGGTGGCGATCCCAGTCGACTCGCTTCATGCTGCGCTGGTCCTCCCCGCACACGTGCCACCAAATCAACAAGGAGCGACACACCGCCTACGGCCTCCACACCGCATCCCACCTCTCTCACTACACCGAAATTCAGTCCGAGATCCTCCGGGCCGTTGCAGGCAACACCCAAATCATCGCAGGCAACGCATCCGAAACACCCGAATCCAAGAAGCTTTTCGAGATTTCCGCCGGCCCTCCGGGTCCCATCGAGGCCCAAGTGTGGTCCGTCCGGGGGTTCGCGGGGTGCAATGAGACGTGCATGGGTGCAGCGAATGTGAAGGCGATAAGGGAGACGTATGCGGCGGTGGGAGGGGAGCCGTTTGTGATGCGGCCGATCGTGAGTGTGCGCGTGCGGCAGAGCGACAAGGGCACAGAGATGCGCCTGTCTCCGCTCGCCACGCACATGTTCTTTGTGCACCGGCTGCGGCGCCACGTGCCGGACTTGCGATACGTGTGGCTCAACACAGAAATGGAGGTGCGTGGGGCAAGCAACGAATGCTTCGAGACGTCCCAAAAGTTGTGAGACGTCTCAAAACTGTTTGTTGTGCACCGGCTGCGGCGCAACGTGCCGGACTTGCGATACGTGTGGCTCGACACAGAAATGGAAGTGCGTGGGGCAAGCAACGAATGCTTGCCCTGCCCACGCCTTATATTCCACCTCTTTATCGATTGACAATGGCTCACTTGTCTTCCCTAACTCACCACGATCCGCCCCTTTCCCTGCTTTTCCTCCAGCGGTAAACCTTCCTTCCTTCCTTCTCTCCCACCCGCCCTACAGTCAGTGATCAAGGAATCAGCCTTGTACCTCGACTGGAAGTTCCTCCAACTCGTCCAACTCGCGCCAGCCCGTGGACTCCAGGTCGAGCCGCAAGGATGAGATGTCTCAAAACTCAGTTCTTCCTTCCTTCCTTCCTTCCTTCTCTCCCACTCGCCCTACAGTCAGTGATCAAGGAATCAGCCTTGTACCTCGACTGGAAGTTCCTCCAACTCGTCCAACTCGCGCCAGCCCGTGGACTCCAGGTCGAGCCGCAAGGATGAGATGTCTCAAAACTCAGTTCTTCCTTCCTTCCTTCCTTCTCTCCCACTCGCCCTACAGTCAGTGATCAAGGAATCAGCCTTGTACCTCGACTGGAAGTTCCTCCAACTCGTCCAACTCGCGCCAGCCCGTGGACTCCAGGTCGAGCCGTGACTCAAACCTTCCTTCCTTCCTTCCTTCCTTCCTTCCTTCCTTCCTTCCTTCCTTCCTTCCTTCCTTCCTTCCTTCCTTCCTTCCTTCCTTCCTTCCTTCCTTCCTTCCTTCCTTCTCTCCCACCACTCGCCCTACAGTCTGTGGTAAAAGAATCAGCCTTGTACCTCGACTGGAAGTTTCTCTACTCCTCCAACTCGCGCCAGCCCGTGGATTTCAGGTCGGGCCGCGAGTATGAGACGTCTCAAAACTCTAACCTTCCTTCCCTCTCTTCCACCCACCTCACAGTCTGTGGTAAAAGAATCAGCCTTGTACGCTGACTGGAAGTTCCTCTACTCCTCCAACTCGCGCCAGCCCGTGGACTCCAGGACGAGTCGTGTCTATGAGCTCACGCAGTCAGTTGCAGCAAGTTTCGCGAGCGTTATCATCGCGTCGCAGTGTGACTACTTTGTGGGTGCGCTCGGGTCTAACTGGAGCAGATTGATTAACGAGCTGCGCTCCACGAATGGGAGGTTGCTCAGCGGCTTTTATACAGTCAACATGGGGGATTGGTAGCCTTTTGAGGTGCCTCAATCGAAAGTCGCAATTATCGCGTCGCAGTGCGACTACTTCGTGGGTGCGCTCGGGTCTAATTGGAGCCGGCTGATTAACGAACTGCGCGCGACGAATGGGAGGTTGCTCAACGGCTTCTTCACAGTCAACATGGGAGACTGGTAGCCTTTTGAGGCATCTCATAAGGCGCTGTTATTGCATCTCAAAAGTCGTTATTTTCGCGTTGCAGTGCGACTACTTTGTGGGTGCGCTCGGGTCTAACTGGAGCAGATTGATTAACGAGCTGCGCTCGACGAATGGGAGGTGGCTCAACGGCTTCTATACAGTCAACATGGGGGACTGGTAGCCTTTTCAGGCACCTCAAAAGTCGCCATTGTTGCGTCTCAGTGGGGGACTGGTAGCAATCCCTTCTACTGTTGCAGCTGCACACCCGCTTGGCAACCATTTGGGAGGGGACTTGGGCGCGAGTGTGCACAGCTAGGAAAAGGTCATTCAGGCCACTGTGCCTCCCTTCATACATGCCGCTCTCCCGCTGTTCCCCTTCATACATTCCTCTCTGTACCACCCATCCTCTCTACCTTCCTTCCTCGGCTCCTCCCTTCCACTGTTCCTCCCTTTGTCCATGCCTCCCTTCATTCCTGCCCGGAATCGTCTGTTCCTCGCTTAGTCCCTTCCTCTGCCCCTCCCATCATCCCATCCACCGTGCCTCTGTTCCTCCTTTCCTCTGTTCTTCCCTTTCTTACTACACCCCTTCCTCTGCCCTTACATCGCTCTGTACTTGTGCTACAATGCAGGGTTAACATTTCCGGAAAAAGGACACTGATTTTGGCACCCTCTATTTATATTTTTACGGACTCTGTTGGCACTTTGGCCGCAAAATGGCTATTCTGCTGACCCAGATTAGACCTTACAGTGTTGAAGAACTGGCAACTATGAGCTTTCAGGGTTGGGAAGATATAAGGCTCAAGCAGGCAAGGCAATGATAGCTTCAGGCACATCTGGCATGGTGTCGTGTTGTGCAGTGTGCACTCTTCTTGGTTGGTACTTACGCATATGATTTTTGCAATTTGGAATCTATGAATTTGAGCCGCATCAAGTCATGTCATACCCGCCAGGGTAATTGTCTTTCCCAGGCGCGTCTCGCATGGTGTATGAGTCGTTCCCTCTTGATGCTAGTGACCGGTCCTGGGTCTCTTTGTGTGGTGTAATGCTTGTCCCACGGCATTCGCTACAGCAACACACCCTGTTACAATCACATCATCAACACGAGCCCCAAGGGGCAATGGTCGCTGCCAGGCACATCTGGCATGGTGTATGAATTATGCACTCTTGGTTATGATCCAATATAATGAAGTGTTATGTCACGTCACGCCTGTTGTAGTAACACGCATCCTGCAGTCACACCTTCAGCACGAGCCCCAAGGGGCAGTGGTCGCTGCCTGGCACATCTGGCATGGTGTAGGAGACGTGCACCAGTGATGCACGATTATTAACATGTAGTGCTATGTCAAATCCTGCACTCAGATCTTCAGCACGAGCCCCAAGGGGCAGTGGTCGCTGCCTGGCACATCTGGCATGGTGTAGGCGTCATGACCTCTGGATGCTTATCTGTTAGCATGTCACGGTGTGTCACACCTGTAGTGGCAACAACAATATCTACAGTCACATCTTCAACACAAGTCCCAGGGGACAATGGTCGCTACCAGGCACATCGGGCATGGTGTATGAGTCATGCACTCTTGATGCTAGTGCCTGGGATACAAGGAAGTAGTCCAGACGCCATCCTGTAGAGACATAGAGGGTTGGGGAAGAGAGGGGCAAGAGAAAAGAAAGTGTAAGTGTAAGCCCACGGCATTGAAATGCGGATAGTGAAACCTATCCAAGTGCATGCGTGCGAGTGTGAGTGCAAGCACGTGTGTGTAAGTGAGTGTGAGTGCGTGGGGTGTGTGCCATGCACCTCTGTTAGCAGGTCGTGCCTTGGACCAATATCCCCAGTAGGTATACGCCACGGCACTGGGATGCTGCTTCGTGTGCGTGCATGGGAGTGTGGGGAGCGCGTGTGAGTGCACGTACCTCTGTTGGCAGGTCTTGCTTTCGATCGGTACTGGGATGCCTTTCTGCGTGCGTGTATGGCGCAAGTGAGTAAGAGTGCCACACACCTCTGTTGGCAGGTCGTGCCTTGGACCGGTAACCCCAGTAAGTATACGCCACGGCATTGGGATGCTGCTGCCGAAACGTATCCACCAAACAAAGTGTGCATGCGTGTGTGAGTGTGAGTGAGTGAGTGTGCCGCACCTCTATTCGCAGGTCTTGCCTTGGACCGGTACCCCCAGTAGCTATACGCCACAGCATTGGGATGCTGCTGACTGAGTGTGCATGCGTGTGGGAGTGTAAGGGTGAGTGCATAAGGTATTTCGCACCTCTATTAGCAGGTCTTGCTTTCGACCGGTAACCCCAGTAAGTATACGCCACGGCATTGGGATGCTGCTGCCGAAACGTATCCACCAACCCACGTTCCTCCCCTCTCCCACCCTCATCTCCACCCTCCCCTTTCCCCTCCCCTCCCCCCTTCTTCCCTCCACTTCCATTCTCACCCTTCTCTCCTCCCTCTCCTCCCTCTCCCCCTTTCCCCTTCTCCCCCTCCTCTTCCCCTTCCCAGGGCACGCCCAGCAGGTTAGCGGCAAACGACGCCCGCTCCTCATCGGTAAACCCCGAGCTCCTGCGGTTGCCCTCGGGGTGGAAAATATCAATCTCCCCGAACGCACAGTTGAGGTCTCCGGTGACAATCACGGGCTTCTGCTGCTCCAGTTCCTGCAGTGGCGGGATTCCAAACAGTGAGGGGGAGACAGAGGAGAGGAGAGAGAGTGAGCTCCGTGGGTTGCCCTCGGGTGGAAAGATGTCAGTCTCCCCAAATGCACAGTTGAGGTCTCCGGTGACAATCACCGGCTTCTGCTGCTCCAGCTCCTGCAGTGGCGGGATTCCAAACAGTGAAGGGACGACAAGGGAGCGGGTTAGCTGCAAAAACGCCCGCTCCTCATCCGAGTTGACTTTTGAGTCGACTCAAAAGTCAGCGGTATACCCTGAGCTCCTCCGGTTGCCCTCGGGGTGGAAAATGTAAATCTTCCCGAATGCACAGTTGAGGTCACCCGTCACGATTACTGGCTACTGATTCTCCAGTTCCTGCCGCGGCGGGAGTCGACAGAGAGAGAGAGAGGGGGAGGAAAGCTCGGGATGTGCGGTAGGTGTTGGAGAATATCATCGTGGCCCTCACCTCCCTCCACAACGTCCTCTCCACCTTTTGAGGCGCCTCAAAAGACTTTTGAGGCGCCTCAAAATGCGGCAGCCTGTAGGTGTTGGAGCATATCATCATGGCCCTCACGTCCCTCCACAACGTGCTCTCCACCTCGCCTTCTGCCGCCGCTGCTGTCGCCTCCCCTGCCTCTCTCGCTCCTCTCTTCACCTGCATCTCCCTCCCCACACTCCCTGCACCACCCTCTTCCTCTTCCTCTGCTGCACCCTCCGCGCTCTCAGCTGCACACATAGAGGCCATGCTGCACCATTCTGGGCATGCTGCAGTCGCTGGCGGGGGCACCAGAGCTGGCGGGGGCACCAGAGCTGGCGTGGGCACCAGAGCTGGCGTGGGTGGTGGCGAAGCAAGGCGGCATCGAGGAGAAACTGGTGCTTCCGTTTTTGGAAATCTTGCTTCGTTTGAATGGGATCCACCTGATCTTGTGGGAGCTACTGGTGCGGCCGGTTCAGGTGTTTCATGAGGTGCTAGTTCAGGTGGTCCAGGTGGGGCGTCAGGTGCATCAGACAACAGTCTGTTGAATTCACCTGAAGAAGGGGACGAGTGGCAGGTGGGCGGCGTGTACATTCGTCTCTTCCTCAAGGACCCCAAGTACCCGCTGCGCAACCCCAAGCGCTTTCTCGAAGGCCTTCTCGACCAATACATGCTTGCCACGTCAGCACTGTTCGCACCAGCTTCCCCTGCTCCTGTTCCCACAGCAGCAGCAGGAGCATCAGCAACAGCATCAGGAGCAGTGGTAGCAGGGAGGGGGTTGGGAGGAGCAGCAGCAGTGGCAGCAGCGACTGAGAGAGTGGAGCTGCTAGCCACGGCACTCATCTCCCTGCTGCGCGTTCAACCACTCCTGAGTGAACACGTGGCACTGTTGGGCTACCTACCGAAACTGCTGCTGCTGACTGCAGCCGAGGGGCAACTGCTTACCGCCGCTGCTCCCTCTGCTGCTGGCGCTGCTGCTGCAGCTCCTTCTCCTGCCACTGCAACTACTGCAGCAGGGGGAGAAGCAGCTGGGAGTGCAGGCGCAGGGGGGCACAGGGTGGGACCAGGGGAGGGGTAACTGCAGCAGAGGCGGACGCGGAGGCGAGGAGGCAGGCGGGGGAGAGGAGGCAGGCGCGCATGTGCTCGCTGAAGATTCTTCACCAGATTGCCGCCAATGGGCCCTGTGCTGAGGCTCTTGCCGTCAATGGGCCCTGTGCTGAGGCTCTTGCTGCCAATGGGCCCTGTGCTGAGGCTCTTGCCGCCAATGGGCCCTGTGCTGAGGCTCTTGCCGCCAATGGGCCCTGTGCTGAGGCTCTTGCCGCCAATGGGCCCTGTGGTGAGGCTCTTGCCGCCAATGGGCCCTGTGCTGAGGCTCTTGCCGCCAATGGGCCCTGTGCTGAGGCTCTTGCCGCCAATGGGCCCTGTGCTGAGGCTCTTGCCGCCAATGGGCCCTGTGCTGAGGCTCTTGCCGCCAATGGGCCCTGTGCTGAGGCTCTTGCCGCCAATGGGCCCTGTGCTGAGGCTCTTGCCGCCAATGGGCCCTGTGCTGAGGCTCTTGCCGCCAATGGGCCCTGTGCTGAGGCTCTTGCCGCCAATGGGCCCTGTGCTGAGGCTCTTGCCGCCAATGGGCCCTGTGCTGAGGCTCTTGCCGCCAATGGGCCCTGTGCTGAGGCTCTTGCCGCCAATGGGCCCTGTGCTGAGGCTCTTGCCGCCAATGGGCCCTGTGCTGAGGCTCTTGCCGCCAATGGGCCCTGTGCTGAGGCTCTTGCTGTCCCGGGGCACCAACGCCCCTCAGGTGAGTCTCCAATGCTTGGAAGCGTTTCAAAGCGAAGGTTCTTGCAGGGGCAGGCGCAGAGGAGGCGAGGAGGCAGGCGGGGGAGAGGGCGCGCATGTGCTCGCTGAAGAGACTTGAATGCCCCTCAGGTAGGACTCCCATGCTTCGAGACGTCTCAAAAAGCAAGGGTATTTGCGGAGTCAGACGCGGGGGCGAGGAGGCAGGCGGGGGAGGGGCGCGTATGTACTCGTTGAAGCTGCCCCAGAAGATTGCCGCCAATGGCCCCTGGATTAAGGCGCGCCCCTGGATTAAGGTTCACCCCAGGATGAAGGTTCACCCCCGGATGAAGGTTTACCCCCCGGATTAAGGCTCACCCCCGGATGAAGGCTCACCCCCGGATTAAGGTTCACCCCCGGATTAAGGTTCACCCCCGGATTAAAGTTCATCCCCGGATTAAGGTTCACCCCCGGATTAAGGTTCACCCCCGGATTAAGGTTCACCCCCGGATTAAGGTTCACCCCCGGATTAAGGTTCACCCCCGGATGAAGGTTCACCCCCGGATTAAGGTTCACCCTCGGATTAAGGTTCACCCCCGGATGAAGGTTCACCCCCGGATTAAGGTTCACCCCCGGATGAAGGTTCACCCCCGGATGAAGGTTCACCCCCGGATTAAGGTTCACCCCCGGATTAAGGTTCACCCCCGGATGAAGGTTCACCCCCGGATTAAGGTTCACCCCCGGATGAAGGTTCACCCCCGGATGAAGGTTCACCCCCGGATTAAGGTTCACCCCCGGATTAAGGTTCACCCCCGGATGAAGGTTCACCCTTGGATGAAGGTTCACCCCCGGATGAAGGTTCACCCCCGGATGAAGGTTCACCCCCGAATGAAGGTTCACCCCCGGATGAAGGTTCACCCCCGGATGAAGGTTCACCCTCGGATTAAGGTTCACCCTCGGATTAAGGTTCACCCTCGGATTAAGGTTCACCCCCGGATTAAGGTTCACCCCCGAATTAAGGTTCACCCCCGGATTAAGGTTCACCCCCGGATTAAGGTTCACCCCCGGATTAAGGTTCACCCCCGGATTAAGGTTCACCCCCGGATTAAGGTTCACCCCCGGATTAAGGTTCACCCCCGGATGAAGGTTCACCCCCGGATGAAGGTTCACCCCCGGATGAAGGTTCACCCCCGGATGAAGGTTCACCCCCGGATGAAGGTTCACCCCCGGATTAAGGTTCACCCCCGGATTAAGGTTCACCCCCGGATGAAGGTTCACCCCCGGATGAAGGTTCACCCCCGGATGAAGGTTCACCCCCGGATTAAGGTTCACCCCCGGATTAAGGTTCACCCCCGGATTAAGGTTCACCCCCGGATAAGGTTCACCCCCGGATTAAGGTTCACCCACGGATTAAGGTTCACCCCCGGATTAAGGTTCACCCCCGGATTAAGGTTCACCCCCGGATTAAGGTTCACCCCCGGATGAAGGTTCACCCCTGGATGAAGGTTCACCCCCGGATGAAGGTTCACCCCCGGATGAAGGTTCACCCCCGGATGAAGGTTCACCCCCGGATGAAGGTTCACCCCCGGATGAAGGTTCACCCCCGGATTAAGGTTCACCCCCGGATGAAGGTTCACCCCCGGATTAAGGTTCACCCCCGGATTAAGGTTCACCCCTGGATTAAGGTTCACCCCCGGATGAAGGTTCACCCCCGGATGAAGGTTCACCCCCGGATGAAGGTTCACCCCCGGATGAAGGTTCACCCCCGGATGAAGGTTCACCCCCGGATGAAGGTTCACCCCCGGATGAAGGTTCACCCCCGGATGAAGGTTCACCCCCGGATTAAGGTTCACCCTCGAATTAAGGTTCACCCTCGAATTAAGGTTCACCCCCGGATTAAGGTTCACCCCCGGATTAAGGTTCACCCCCGGATTAAGGTTCAACCCCGGATGAAGGTTCACCCCCGGATTCAGGTTCACCCCCGGATTAAGATTCACCCCCCGATTAAGGTTCACCCCCGGATTAAGGTTCACCCACGGATTAAGGTTCACCCCCGGATGAAGGTTCACCCCCGGATTAAGGTTCACCCCCGGATTAAGGTTCACCCCCGGATGAAGGTTCACCCCCGGATTAAGGTTCACCCCCGGATGAAGGTTCACCCCCAGATGAAGGTTCACCCCCGGATGAAGGTTCACCCCCGGATGAAGGTTCACCCCCGGATGAAGGTTCACCCCCGGATTAAGGTTCACCCCCGGATTAAGGTTCACCCCCGGATTAAGGTTCACTCCCGGATTAAGGTTCACCCCCGGATGAAGGTTCACCCCCGGATGAAGGTTCACCCCCGGATGAAAGTTCACCCTCGGATTAAGGTTCACCCCCGGATTAAGGTTCACCCCCGGATTAAGGTTCACCCCTGGATTAAGGTTCACCCCCGGATTAAGGTTCACCCCCGGATTAAGGTTCACCCCCGGATTAAGGTTCACCCCCGGATTAAGGTTCACCCCCGGATTAAGGTTCACCCCCGGATGAAGGTTCACCCCCGGATGAAGGTTCACCCCCGGATGAAGGTTCACCCCCGGATTAAGGTTCACCCCCGGATTAAGGTTCACCGTTCACCCCCGGATGAAGGTTCACCCCCGGATGAAGGTTCACCCCCGGATGAAGGTTCACCCCCGGATTAAGGTTCACCCCCGGATTAAGGTTCACCCCCGGATGAAGGTTCACCCCCGGATTAAGGTTCACCCCCGGATTAAGGTTCACCCCCGGATGAAGGTTCACCCCCGGATGAAGGTTCACCCCCGGATTAAGGTTCACCCCCGGATGAAGGTTCACCCCTGGATTAAGGTTCACCCTCGGATTAAGGTTCACCCCCGGATTAAGGTTCACCCCCGGATTAAGGTTCACCCCCGGATGAAGGTTCACCCCCGGATTAAGGTTCACCCCCGGATTAAGGTTCACCCCCGGATTAAGGTTCACCCCCAGATGAAGGTTCACCCCCGGATGAAGGTTCACCCCCGGATGAAGGTTCACCCCCGGATGAAGGTTCACCCCCGGATGAAGGTTCACCCCCGGATGAAGGTTCACCCCCGGATTAAGGTTCACCCCCGGATTAAGGTTCACCCCCGGATTAAGGTTCCACCCCGGATTAAGTTTCACCCCCGGATTAAGGTTCACCCCCGGATTAAGGTTCACCCCCGGATGAAGGTTCACCCCCGGATGAAGGTTCACCCCCGGATGAAGGTTCACCCCCGGATGAAGGTTCACCCCCGGATGAAGGTTCACCCCCGGATGAAGGTTCACCCCCGGATTAAGGTTCACCCCCGGATGAAGGTTCACCCCTGGATTAAGGTTCACCCTCGGATTAAGGTTCACCCCCGGATTAAGGTTCACCCCCGGATTAAGGTTCACCCCCGGATTAAGGTTCACCCCCGGATTAAGGTTCACCCCTGGATTAAGGTTCACCCCCGGATTAAGGTTCACCCCCGGATTAAGGTTCACCCCCGGATGAAGGTTCACCCCCGGATTAAGGTTCACCCCCGGATTAAGGTTCACCCCCGGATTAAGGTTCGCCCCCGGATTAAGGTTCGCCCCCGGATTAAGGTTCGCCCCCGGATGAAGGTTCACCCCCGGATTAAGGTTCACCCCCGGATTAAGGTTCGCCCCCGGATTAAGGTTCACCCCCGGATAAAGGTTCACCCCCGGATTAAGGTTCACCCCCGGATTAAGGTTCACCCCCCGGATTAAGGTTCACAACCGGATGAAGGTTCACCCCCGGATGAAGGTTCACCCCCAGATGAAAGTTCACCCTCGGATTAAGGTTCACCCCCGGATTAAGGTTCACCCCCGGATTAAGGTTCACCCCCGGATTAAGGTTCACCCCCGGATTAAGGTTCACCCCCGGATTAAGGTTCACCCCCGGATGAAGGTTCACCCCCGGATGAAGGTTCACCCCCGGATGAAGGTTCACCCCCGGATGAAGGTTCACCCCCGGATGAAGGTTCACCCCCGGATTAAGGTTCACCCCCGGATGAAGGTTCACCCCCGGATTAAGGTTCACCCCCGGATTAAGGTTCACCCCCGGATTAAGGTTCGCCCCCGGATTAAGGTTCGCCCCCGGATTAAGGTTCGCCCCCGGATGAAGGTTCACCCCCGGATTAAGGTTCACCCCCGGATTAAGGTTCGCCCCCGGATTAAGGTTCACCCCCGGATAAAGGTTCACCCCCGGATTAAGGTTCACCCCCCGGATTAAGGTTCACAACCGGATGAAGGTTCACCCCCGGATGAAGGTTCACCCCCAGATGAAAGTTCACCCTCGGATTAAGGTTCACCCCCGGATTAAGGTTCACCCCCGGATTAAGGTTCACCCCCGGATTAAGGTTCACCCCCGGATTAAGGTTCACCCCCGGATGAAGGTTCACCCCCGGATGAAGGTTCACCCCCGGATGAAGGTTCACCCCCGGATGAAGGTTCACCCCCGGATTAAGGTTCACCCCCGGATTAAGGTTCACCGTTCACCCCCGGATGAAGGTTCACCCCCGGATGAAGGTTCACCCCCGGATGAAGGTTCACCCCCGGATTAAGGTTCACCCCCGGATTAAGGTTCACCCCCGGATGAAGGTTCACCCCCGGATTAAGGTTCACCCCCCGATTAAGGTTCACCCCCGGATTAAGGTTCACCCCCGGATGAAGGTTCACCCCCGGATGAAGGTTCACCCCCGGATGAAGGTTCACCCCCGGATGAAGGTTCACCCCCGGATGAAGGTTCACCCCCGGATTAAAGTTCACCCCCGGATTAAGGTTCACCCTCGGATTAAGGTTCACCCCCGGATTAAGGTTCACCCCCGGATTAAGGTTCACCCCCGGATTAAGGTTCACCCCCGGATTAAGGTTCACCCCCTGGATTAAGGTTCACAACCGGATGAAGGTTCACCTTACCTTGACGTAGCTGCCAAAATCGACGTCCCACTCCTTGGTGCGATAGTCCTGCAGGCACAAGGCAGAGTGGGCGGGAGACACATTGGGGAACAATGAGTCTTTTGGTCGACTTAAGAAATGAGGTCCCTTTCCTTGGTGGGATTAGTCGTGGAGAGACCTGCTGGGAAATGGAGATTGCAGGGGCAGAGTGAAGAAACAGGCGCGCTGGAGTACAATCGAGAAACAGAGTGTGAGTGTGAGCATGAGAGAGCGTGAGTGTGCTCACGAGCGAGAGTGTGAGTGGAAAATCTCCATTTCCCACAGAAAAAAATGAAAGCAGGAACAGAGGAGAAACAGAGAAGATTGAGGGGTATGGCGGGGCATGGCACAGCATGGCACGGCATGGCATGGGATTGCATGGCACGGCACATGTACTGCCTTGCGTGCCTTGACTACCTTGACTACCCACCAAGCAGACTAGCGTCTCGGAGGAGTTGGGAGTGTAGCAGCAGACGAGGAAGAATGGGGCGAATTCATTTGTCACCACTCGCCTTGACTTGCTTTGACCTGCTTTGACTTGCGTTGCGTTGCCTTGCCTTCAGTAACCACTCACCAGCCTGACTAGCTTCTCAGAAGAATTGGGTGTGTAGCAGCACATGAGGAAGAAGGGGACGAAGTCAACAAGCTTGACTAGCGTTGACTAGCCTTGACTGACGTTGACTATTGTTGACTTTTCTTGTTTACCCACCAGCCGGACTAGCTTCTCAGAAGAGTTGGGGGTGTAGCAGCAGACGAGGAAGAAGGGGGCAAATTCAACCGTCACCACTCGCCCCTCCTTGTCGTGCTCTGGCTTGTTGATGCCATAGCGCACCGAGAGAGGAGGCACCTGAAAAGTGGGGGAGATTGGCACATGTATAAAACGATTGATTCGACCGTGACAAGACTCAACAGTCACCACCCGCCCCTCCTTGTCGTGCTCTGGCTTGCCAATGCCGTAGCGCACTGAGAGGGGAGGCACCTGAACAGGAGATGGGAGAGAGCGGCACACATGAGATGGTCAGTTACGAACTGTCAGTAAATTCCACCGTCACCACCCGCCCCTCCTTGTCGTGCTCTGGCTTGTCGATGCCATAGCGCACTGAGAGAGGAGGTACCTGAAAAGGGGGGAAGAGAGCGGCACATATGTAGAACAATCCACTCAACTGTGGCACGAGTGCAACCGTCACCACGCGCCCCTCCTTGTCGTGCTCTGGCTTGTCGATGCCATACCGCACTGAGAGTGGGCGCACCTGAAAGGGGGGAGAGAGGCACATATGTTGAAACAATTCACTCAACAGTGGCACGTGTGCAACTTTCACCACCCGCCCCTCCTTGCCGTGCTCTGGCTTGTCCATGCCGTAGCGCACCGAGAGAGGGCGCACCTGAAAGAGGGGAGGAGAGGCATATGTATAGTACAACCAATCGAATTAACTGTGACTGAATTCCACTTCCACCGTCACCACCTCTGGTTTGCCAATGCCATACACCACTGAGGGGAGGGGCAAACGGAGGGGGGAGAGGGGAGGAATTGAGTGTCTTCAACGTCCGGACTCAGTCCTTTATACAACAAGAATCGGATCCCACTGACTCACCTTGGACAGCACTGCCGTACCGGAGGATCCCAGCTTAGCCGTGCTGCAGCTCCAAAACGAGTGCGGAAAGGTGGGGGAGGGCGAGGGCCTTTTAAGTCTCCCCTTCATCCTTCTCCTCCTGCCCTTCCATACAACGACACATAAGTCCCACTGACTCACCTTAGACAGCACTGCCGTGCCGGAGTATCCAAGCTTAGCTGTGCTACAGCTCCAATAGGAATGCGGGAACGTGGGAGACAGAGCCTTCTGAATCTCCCCCACGTCCTTCTCCTGCAGCTTCGTCTCCTGCAGGCACACCACGTCAGCACGCTCCCTCTCGGCCAATCGACACAGCACGGTCGCCTCAGCCGCCACGTCAGCAGACACGTCAGCCGCCACGTCAGCGTCCACAGTTGCCGTATGATCTTGCGACTCGCCAGCTGGATCCTGCGATTCCCCCTCCTCCCCTCCGCCCGCCTTCCCCTTACCTGCTCCCCTTCCCCCTTTCTTCTTCCCCTTCCCCTTCTCTGTACCCTTCCCCCCACTCCCCTCCCCGTCCCCCTCCCCTTCCCCACCTTTAAGCAATGCTCTCAACCCATTAACATTCCAAGATACCAGACGCCATAAATTCTTTTCTCCTCCTCCCTTCTCCCCTCCCTCCTCCCCTCCCGCCCCTGCCAGCTCACTCCCCCCCCCATCCACGTCAGCTTTCCTCATCGTCTTGGGATCATACGGGAACCAATCAGGTTGCAGCTTTCGGTGAACCAGAACCTTCCAAGGCTCCTGGCTAGCTTCGGCATCTGCCTCCATTCGTTTAGCTATCTCCAATTGCTCTTTTTTCGTCAGCTGCCCGGGTTTTTTCTTCCCCGCTTTTTGCGGCCCGGCCTTACCCCGGCCTTTTTTCACCTGCCCTTCGGGAACGGTTTCTTTTCCCTCCCTGCCCTCCTCTTTTTCTTCCTGTGACTCCAACGGCTGTGATTCTGGTTGCGACTCTGGCTCTTGTGACTCCACGTGTCCCAATTCTACTGGCTTGCTCCCCTTAGCCTGCTGACCACGTGGGCCCGCGGGTACTCCCCTCTTTCTCCCTTTCTTCTTCCCCTTCTCCTCTTCCTCCTCCTCCTCCTCTTCATCCTCCTCCTCTTCCTCCTCCGTCTCCTCCTCTTCCTCCTCCTCTTCTTCTTCGCTCAGTGCTGCGGCTTTCCCCCTTTTCCCTTTCCCCCCTGCTGCCGCTCCCCCTCTTCCCAGTGACCGCGCCCTCCCCCCCGTCCAACCTCCCCCAACCGCGCCCTTCCCCGCTTCCCCCTTCCCGCTCCCGCTGGGTACCTCTCTCGCGCGCTTGACCCCCGCTTTCCCCGCACGCCCTTTCCCCGCGGCTTCCGCCTCCGCGTTTTTCCCGCCAGTCGCAGCGTCAATCGCGGCGTCGTCAGCGGCTGGGTCGTCGCCGGAACGAGCGGCCGCGGCGGAAGCTGCTGCTGCTGCCCGCGTGGAGCGGCGCAGAGCGGTGCTGTGCGGTGCCTCGGAGTTTGTACGCGGAGCGGCGGGTTTACGGCCGCCACCAGCCATTGTTGTAACAGTCCCTAATGATCGAGTCCTCGATACAGTCACAAATGCGGGGAATACTATTCTCGGAAGAACAACGGATATAGCACAACACGAATGGGCGTTTCTTATTAAACGCTTGCAGCGTACCACTAAGGGCGTGACGATCTGATTTCGCGATGATAGACTGCCAGTAACAGTGTCGGTGGCGAACTTTGGCGAAAAGGCGACGGGAGCCGTGGATGCTGTCCGGGCGACAAATCGGATGGCTGCGATGGCCGACGGAGTGCCTAAGGAGTTTCGGATAGTAACGAGCGGCACCATTCAGACGAGTGCAGGGCAGAGCAGAAAATAGGAGGCTACGTTTCCTGTACCTCTACTCAGGACAGGACGTGTCGGCAGGACACTGGCACGATGGTGAAAATAGCCCCTGTTGAAAAAAGTCTCGCTATTATTCAGCCCCTTATCATGAGTCGGTGGATTGTAAACAAGGGGCTTATAATATCGAACAGTTCAAAATGTCGCAAACTCCGCAAGAGATTGTTCGCGAATCTGCTCCGATACAAAGTGCCCTTTTACGAAGTTCAACAAAAGCTAAATATCACGAAGGCTCTGTAAGCTATTCTCTCAAATTCGAGGATTTGAATTTCTCTCAGTTTCCCGCCAAATTCGACTGCAACCTTGATATCCTCTCCCCTCCATTCTTTCACCATTCTCAAAGTCTAGTCATGACTTTTTCACCTTAGTCCTCGCTCACTATAGGTTTAGCACTGCGTTGCGTTAGGCTTTCCGTATGCTTCTGCTTGCGAGTGGTTGATCGACGAGCGTCGGCGTTCTGATTGTATTTTTCGCCGATAAGCGAAGCTAGTCCAGTTGATAAGCGAGCAGTAGGTGGAAGAATACTCGACGCCAGCCTGCACAGAGGAGCAGATCAGCAACGCTAGTTCGTGAGAATCAGGGCAGTGACGAAGCGGTGACATTTGAGTCTTGAGTCGACGCCAGCCTGCATTGGGCAGCAGATCAGCAACGCTCGTCCGAAAGAATCGGCCGCAGTGATGAAGCGGGGTAGAGAAGACGACGAGGGTTCGCGACATGATGAAGATGGCGGGAAGAATGCAGGGAGTGGGGGAGAAGGGGAGGAGAAGAAAGAAGCACGAAGCAGGGGAGATGAGGGTGACGGTGGTGGGGAGCCCGCGGGGGACCATGTTAAGACGGCATTGTCTGAGGCTGGGGTAGAAAGGGGGAAACGGGAGAGTGGAACAAGCGACCAAGAGAAGGTTCGGGAAAAGGAGGAGGAGAGAAAGGAGGATGAGGATGAGGAGGACTGTGTTAAGATCGAGGAAGATAATGACGAGGATGTTAAGATAGAGGAGGAGAAGGAGGAGTGTATTGATCTTTTGGACGAGGAGGAGGATGATGGCGGTGACAATAACGAGGCGGCTGAAATCGAGGATGTTTCGGAGGAGGAAGGACCAAGGAAGGTGATGAAGCTGAGCGAAGCTGCGAGGAAATCGCGGAAGCGTGACGTGGCGGAGCGGGCGGGGGGCGGGGAGGAGGGTGCAGAGGACGGGAAGGGGGAGGGACTGGCGAAGAAAAAAAGAAGGAAATTGGGGAATGGGTATGGGAAAGTGAACGATTTGGAGAAGAAAGAAGGGGGGCAGGGCAGCGATGTTCGAAAAGACAGGGGCGACGGGGGTATGCGTGAAGGGAACGGGAACGAGGAGAGACAGGAGGAGAAGGAGCGGAGAGAGGAGAGCGGCGATGGTAGAGAACCGAGAAGAACCGAGAAGGATGGGAAGGGGGAACGTAATCAGGTAACGGTTAGTAGAGATGGTGAAGGGGGAGGTGGAGGAGGAGGAGATGAGGAGGGGGACGACGGAGCTAGGACGCGTGGAGAGCGGGGGGGCCAGGGGGAGCAAGGAGAGAAAGGGGAGAAGGGGGGAAATGGAGAGAAGGGGGAGCCGGACGAGGGACGGGAGGGGGAGGAGCGACAGGAAGAGAAGGGAGAGGAGAAGGAGATGGGAGAGAAGAAGGGGGAGCAGACGGGGGAGCAGAAGGGGGAACCGAAGGGGGAACAGACGGGAAGCATGGTAACCCGCAAGAAAGACATATCATACGTTCTTATAGACTTAAAGCCACGAGAGCAGACTAAGAAGACAGGGGGGAGCAGGGATAGCAAGGGGGGAAGCGCGGGGGAGAACGGTGGGGGAGGGGGAAGCGGCGGTGGGGGAACGCCTGGGAAGGAGGAGGACGGGGGGAGTGACGAGCAGACGAAAAAAGTAGGGGCGGGTGGGGAGGCTGATGGGGCAGGTGAAAAAGCAGGTGTGGGGGGGGCAGCGCGGACGGCAGAAGGGGGGAAGAAGCGGAAAGGCCTCCCCCCACGCTCTAGGAAAACGGGCAAGAAGGGGGGAGGGAGAGGGGGGGCGCATGGGGGGGGCAAGGGTGGGCTGGCTGGTGCAGGGGCAGCTGGGGGAGGGCTTATAACGGGGATGGGGGACAAGAGGAAGGAGGCGGATCTGGTGAAGGTGGTACCTGCGCCCAAGGGGTTGGAGATCGAAGATGGGCCTGATAAGCCGGTTGTCTTATCGCGTGTGTTCCGGGCGGCACAGATCCAGGTAAGCAGCAAAGGCAATCGCATGGTACTGTGAGAGCCACATGGTGCATCTGGAATAAGAGTGTTGTTGAGACGTCTTAAAAACAATTGCATGGTGCTGTGAGAGCCACATGCTGCTTCTGGGGCGCACAGGGCACACCCGCATAGGCTGGGCCACGCAGCGAGCCAACAGGCGCTCACCCCTCGGCAACAAGGGCTATCGCACGGTGCTGGCAACGAGAGGCGTGCTGGAAGGCGCGTGGTATTTCGAAATCCACATGCATCGTCTGGGCGCACAGGGCACGCCCGCATAGGCTGGGCCACGCAGCGAGCCAACAGGCGCTCACCCCTCGCCTTTCCCTCATTCTCGTTACTTTCCTGTTCCACGCATCCCCATTCCCCGCATCCCCGTTCCCCGCATCCCCGTTTCCATCATCCTCAGTTGAGTGAGGATCGGTTATCAGCGACGAGCAGCAAGGGCTATTGCACGGTTCTAGCAACGAGAGGAGTGGTGGAAGGCGCGTGGTCACTCAATTCCCCACACTCCCCTCACTCCCTCCCTCCCCTCCTTCCCTTACTCCCTCTGCAGCTGAGTGAGGATCGATTGTCAGCGACAAGCAGCAAGGGCTATCGCATGGTGCTGGCAACAAGGGGGGTAATGGAGGGCGCGTGGTATTTCGAAATCCACATGCTGCATCTGGGGCAGTCAGGGCACGCCCGCATAGGCTGGGCCACGCAGCGCGCCGACATGCAGACTCCCGTGGGGTTTGATGCGTGGGGGCATACAACCTTCTCCCTTTCCCTATGCCGCATACTCCCCTCCCTCCCTCCCCTCCCCACAGCTAAGTGACGATCGATTATCAGCCACGAGCAGCAAGGGCTATCGCACGGTGCTGGCAACGCGAGGCGTGCTCGAAGGCGCGTGGAATTTCGAGATCCACATGCTGCATCTGGGGCGCACAGGGCCGTTCAACCTTCTCCCTGTCCCTATGCCCCATACTCCCCTCACACCCAGTTGAGTGAGGACCGACTATCAGCCACGAGCAGCAAGGGCTATCGCATGGTGCTGGCAACGAGAGGAGTGCTGGAAGGCGCGTGGTATTTCGAAATTCACATGATGCATCTGGGGCAGTCAGGGCACACCCGCTGCCCGCGTAGGCTGGGCCACACAGCGAGCCGACATGCAGACGCCCGTGGGGTTTGATGCGTGGGGGCACACAAGCCGTACAACATTTTCCCTTCCCCTGTGGCCCACACTCCTCTCCTTCCCTCCGTCCCCCAGTTGAGCGAGGACCGATTATCTGCGACAAGCAGCAAGGGCTATCGCACAGTTCTAGCCACCAGAGGGGTGCTGGAAGGCGTGTGGTATTTCGAAATCCACATGCAGCATCTGGGGCGCACAGGGCACGCCCGCATAGGCTGGGCCACACAGCGAGCCGACATGCAGACTCCCGTAGGGTTTGACGCGTGGGGGCACACAACCTTCTCCATTTCCCTATGCCGCATACTCCCCTCCCTCCCTCCCCTCCCCACAGCTAAGTGACGATCGATTATCAGCCACGAGCAGCAAGGGCTATCGCACGGTGCTGGCAGTGAGGGGGGTAATGGAGGGCGCGTGGTACTTCGAAATCCACATGCTGCATCTGGGGCGCACAGGGCACGCCCGCATAGGCTGGGCCACACAGCGGGCCGACATGCAGACGCCCGTGGGGTTTGACGCGTGGGGGCACACAAGCCGTACAACCTTTTCCCTTTCCCTGTGGCCCACACTCCTCTCCTTCCCTCCTTCCCCCAGTTGAGCGAGGACCGATTGTCGGCCACGAGCAGCAAGGGCTATCGCACAGTTCTAGCCACCAGAGGGGTGCTGGAAGGCGCGTGGTATTTCGAGATCCACATGCTGCATCTGGGGCGCACAGGGCACGCCCGCATAGGCTGGGCCACACAGCGGGCCGACATGCAGACGCCCGTGGGGTTTGACGCGTGGGGGTTTGGGTTCCGGGATGTGGATGGGAGTGCGGTGCACCAGGCTGTTAGGAGGGCGTACGCTGGAGGATCGCTGGATTTCCCACCTCTGCCTCCTTCCAGTGCTACTGCCACTGCTGCTGCTTCTGCGGCTGCTGCTGCTGCTGCTGCTGCTGCTGCTACTGCCGCTGCCGCCACTGCTGCTGCGCCGGCTGCTGCAGCCGCTGCCGGTGGCGACATGGAAAATGCACCTGACAGGAAAACTCCACCTGAAAATGCATTTGCACAGCCTGAAACCACTCACAACCGTTCCCGACCGCAGCATGCAGGGGACATAAGCAAGCGGGCCCCTGGGTACGTGGAGGGCGACGTGATTGGCTGCTACATCAGCCTGCCAGGTGGCGCCATGCTGGCGCCCAAGCCGCGGCCGCTGGTGACGTGGAAGGGGCAGCCGTGCTACGTGGAGAGCGAGGAGAGTGGAAAAGGAGGACCTCCCATACCTGGTAAGCGCTTCTCTCCCTTCTCTCCCTGATTAGCGCATGGTACATTAGTTGTAAGCGTGGAAGGGGCAGCCATGTTACGTGGACAGCGAGGAGAGTGCAAAAGGAGGGCCTCCCGTGCCTGGTGAGTGTGTCTTCTTTCCATTCAACTCTTTCCCCTGCCTTGACTAGCCACGCCCGCTGTGCTTCGTGGAAGGGGCAGCCGTGCTACGTGGAGAGCGAGGAGAGCGCAAAGGGAGGGCCACCTGTGCCTGGTAAGTGCTTCTCTCCCTTCTCTCCCTGATTAGCGCATGGTACATTAGTTGTAAGTGTGGAAGGGGCAGCCGTGCTACGTGGAGAGCGAGGAGAGCGCAAAGGGAGGGCCTCCCATACCTGGTACGCGTTGTGGTTTGTTAATGGTTTGCTTCTTTATTCTTTCTTGTGCGCTGACGAGCCGCGGTCACTGTTGATGGGGAAGGAGGAGGGAGCGTGCATAAGTGCATGTTTCTAAATCCAATAAAATCAAACTGTAATATCTTTTCCACCACCCTTGCACAGGGAGTGAAATCGCGTTCTTTCGTAACGGGGTGTGTCTGGGGAAGGCGTTTAAAGACATTCCAGCAGGGAGATACTTCCCGGCAGCTTCCCTCTTCACGCTGCCCGACCAATCAGAGGGCGCCACCGTGCGTTTCAACTTCGGGCCAAACTTTTCGCACCTGCCCAAAGATTGGGGAAACCGGCCTGTGCCGGGAGTTTTTTCAGCTGCCCCTCACATTCCTGCTTCGGAGTATGAAGCTGACCTTGGGGAGGGGGAGGGGAAGGAGGAGGGGGAGAGGGAAGGGAAGGAGAAGGAGGGGAACGATGTGGAGGGGAAGGAGAAAAGGGAGGAGGGGAGAAAGGAAGGGAGAGAACTTAAGAAGGAGAAGGAGGATGGTGGGAGTAAGGAGAGGGGAATAGTGAAGGATGAGAAAGAGGAGGGTGAAGGTAAGGATGCGAAACTACAGGGTGGGGAGGAGGGAGAGGGGGAGGAGGATGAGAAGAATGGTGAGATGGAGGAGGAAGAAGGGAAGAAGGTGAAAGAAGGGAGGGAGGAGATAGACGGGGAAGTGAAAGGGGAGGGGGATAGTGTGGATGATAGGGTGGGAAGGGTGAACAACAAGGGTGGAGTGCAAGAGGAGAGTAAGGAGGGAGAAACGGGGAGTGGGAGGAATTTAGAGGAGGGAGAGGGGGATAGGGAGAGTGGCAGAGGGAGGGACGATGCGATGGAGAAGCAAGGAGGTGGAGAAGATGGGAAGGGGAGTGAAGGCGGAGCAGGAGGTGACAGAAGGGATGAAAAAGCAACCAAATAGGATGAGAAACCACGAAATTATTGGGTGGGAGCCCGTATAAACGAGGATGCTGACTGATAGCCAACTCTTATAGGTGTGAAATACTGTAATGACGAAGTTAGGAAGGTACAAATTATTGCAAGATCCATGTGGTTTTGGCACTTGTGTTTGAGAAAGTATATCGTAACGAGATGTGCACAATAAAAGTATCACGGTATTCCAGTGGCGAAGCTCTTCTGTTCGGTCCTTGTTCAAACATTTTCTTGCAGTGAATCCTATTGGTTGTAAACTTGCCAACTTTGTCGGTCGGTGGATGTGATTCGACGTCGGTGGCATGGCGTGTGGTTGCCACACTCGTTTGCCGAAAACACCCTTTTGAGGAACAAACGAAAAGCAACCTCCATACAGTACGACATTCGCGAGACTGCCGACTCTTCGTAACTATCAACGACGAACTCTGACTGAGCATGGTCACTAATTTCCAAGTAAAATACCATATTCTCTCAACCCCTTTCAACCGCTACAGGTTCTTTAATAGCATATAGCAAAAAACAAAGAAGCGTACTCAACCGCATCGAATGATATTGACGTGACACTGAACCTAGCTACATAATTTGACAAATTTCTGAGAGGAGCGCTATTTTATTCCCCCTCTCTTCCCTCGCAAGCTAGCAATACTGTTGCGATCTAGCCCAACACAAGACGCGTCTCGCTGCCGCAAGTCACGCAAGCCTTGGCTCTTCAGTATCTAGGCTTGGCTCTCAGCAGCAATGGATTCCTCGCCTTCCACGTGTACCCCCTTTCATTGCACCGCCACTTCGCGGCGCGGCTGTGTAATATCGACTTCGCCAATAAGTCCAACCAGGGAACTACAGTTAGAAGTATCTCGCTCCGGACGAACTTGGAAATTTCGTCGTTGTACACTCGCGTCGAAACCGCAATGTGTCCCTTCTATGAATTACGCCCAGAAATCGATGCGACACTTGGCCCATCCGAAAAAACCTTTTGAGGCTTCTGAAAAACTAACCATCTCCCGTGGCGCGTCTCGCTTCCTACCTCTCCCTACCCGTGTCGCGTCTACTATACGTCATCTCTTCCTAATATACGTTGCCTTGATCGAAACTCTTTAACTAAGTCAGTTGCCTCGGTTGGCTCGGTTGTTGATTTCTACAGAGAAGCTCGATTTTTAGGTCCACCAAGTCCGCTCGCGGTGCAATGATGGACGGTCAGGATCTTTTGATAACCGATCCGACGGACGGGAGCAACTCTGGGGCGATGAACGGCTCACATTTACCACATTTTGCGAGAACTCCTCCTAGAGATCCTCCCTTCAACAGCCGCTCGGATTGGGAAATGCCTCACTTTGAAAACACCATGATAAACCTTCCAAACCCCTCCAGCGTTGCAGGGGAAATACCCCTTTTAAGGACCCAGGGTATAATTTCTCAGGGGAAATTCCCCCATATGACGAGGCAATGCTGGAGCCGTTCCGGCTTTCTGGGGAGATTCTTGCTGACGTGGCAGCGGCATTTGACCATGCCAGGTCAACGTTCGCATGTGTGGAGTCCACGTGTCCCACAGATACCACCGTCACCTCTGCTGCTTCAGCATTCCATGCCGTCTCACCTGCTGTCGTCTCACCTGCTGCCGTCTCACCTGCTGCCGTCTCACCTGCTGCCGTCTCACCTGCTGCCGTCTCACCTGCTGCCGTCTCACCTGCTGCCGTCTCCCCTGCTGTCGTCTCCCCTGCTGACGTCTCACCTGCTGTCGTCTCACCTGCTGTCGTCTCCCCTGCTGACGTCTCACCTGCTGCCGTCTCCCCTGCTGTCGTCTCCCCTGCTGACGTCTCACCTGCTGCCGTCTCACCTGCTGTCGTCTCACCTGCTGCCGTCTCACCTGCTGCCGTCTCACCTGCTGCCGTCTCACCTGCTGCCGTCTCACCTGCTGCCGTCTCCCCTGCTGTCGTCTCCCCTGCTGACGTCTCACCTGCTGCCGTCTCACCTGCTGCCGTCTCACCTGCTGCCGTCTCACCTGCTGCCGTCTCCCCTGCTGTCGTCTCCCCTGCTGACGTCTCACCTGCTGCCGTCTCACCTGCTGTCGTCTCACCTGCTGCCGTCTCACCTGCTGCCGTCTCCCCTGCTGTCGTCTCCCCTGCTGACGTCTCACCTGCTGCCGTCTCACCTGCTGTCGTCTCACCTGCTGTCGTCTCACCTGCTGCCGTCTCACCTGCTGCCGTCTCACCTGCTGCCGTCTCCCCTGCTGTCGTCTCCCCTGCTGACGTCTCACCTGCTGCCGTCTCACCTGCTGCCGTCTCACCTGCTGTCGTCTCACCTGCTGCCGTCTCACCTGCTGCCGTCTCACCTGCTGCCGTCTCCCCTGCTGTCGTCTCCCCTGCTGATGTCTCACCTGCTGCCGTCTCACCTGCTGTCGTCTCACCTGCTGTCGTCTCACCTGCTGCCGTCTCACCTGCTGCCGTCTCACCTGCTGCCGTCTCCCCTGCTGTCGTCTCCCCTGCTGACGTCTCACCTGCTGCCGTCTCACCTGCTGCCGTCTCACCTGCTGTCGTCTCACCTGCTGCCGTCTCACCTGCTGTCGTCTCACCTGCTGCCGTCTCACCTGCTGCCGTCTCACCTGCTGCCGTCTCCCCTGCTGTCGTCTCCCCTGCTGACGTCTCACCTGCTGCCGTCTCACCTGCTGTCGTCTCACCTGCTGTCGTCTCACCTGCTGCCGTCTCACCTGCTGCCGTCTCACCTGCTGCCGTCTCCCCTGCTGTCGTCTCCCCTGCTGACGTCTCACCTGCTGCCGTCTCACCTGCTGCCGTCTCACCTGCTGTCGTCTCACCTGCTGCCGTCTCACCTGCTGCCGTCTCCCCTGCTGTCGTCTCCCCTGCTGACGTCTCACCTGCTGCCGTCTCACCTGCTGTCGTCTCACCTGCTGTCGTCTCACCTGCTGCCGTCTCACCTGCTGCCGTCTCACCTGCTGCCGTCTCCCCTGCTGTCGTCTCCCCTGCTGACGTCTCACCTGCTGCCGTCTCACCTGCTGCCGTCTCACCTGCTGCCGTCTCACCTGCTGTCGTCTCACCTGCTGCCGTCTCACCTGCTGCCGTCTCACCTGCTGCCGTCTCCCCTGCTGCCGTCTCCCATGCTGCTCTCTCCCCCTCACGTGAAAGTAGCTACCTGTCCTCCCCGCTACAGCCGGCAGCATCGCCATCAGGTGTAGCAGAACAAGCATGTGCTACAGCCGCCACTTTGGCTACTGCTGCTACATCTGCTGCAGCCGGCCCTACCTGCTACCTGTCCGCGCTGCTACAGCCAGGAGCAGCACCACCAGGTGTACCAGAACAAGCATGTGCTACAGCCAGCACTCCGACTACCGCTGCTGATTCTTCTGCTGCGACAAGCGGCCTTACCCGCAGCATGCTCGCCCTGCTACAGCCGCCAGCAGCACCATCAGGTGTGCCGAAGCAAGCAAGTGCTACAGCCGGCGCTCTAACCACCGCTGCTTCTTCTGCTGCAGCCGGCCCTACCTGCTGCATGTCCATGGGGGAACCATTCGCACCTCTCCCCCCATCAGCCCCCACAGCAGCAGCAGTACCCTGTGTTCCTAGTAGCCCAGCCGTCCCACACCCCGCCCGACCGCTTCATCTTGTGAAGAGGAGTGCTGGGACGTCCCAGAATCTGCTTTCTGCACCAGTTGTGTCCATTGGAAGAAACCCATCCGCACCTCTCCCCCCATCCGCACCTCTCCCCCCATCCGCACCTCTCCCCCCATCCGCACCTCTCCCCCCATCCGCACCTCTCCCCCCATCCGCACCTCTCCCCCCATCCGCACCCACAGCAGCGGTACCCTCTGTGCCCAGTAACCCAGCCGCTCCATACCCCTCTCAACCGCTTCGTCTCGCCCACACACCACCTGGCAGGTGTGGACAACCCACTCCGCCCGACCCGTGCCGCCCAGCGGAGTTTCCACTTCTGTGTCTGCCCCAGTGTGTCCCCGTACCTCCAGTTAGCTTTGCTCTTCCCACACCTCCCCCCTGTGCCAACCACAAACCACCCTGCCGTGCGTCCCCACCTGCTACCCCAGCTGTAGCGGCAATGCCAACCCCACCAGCCAGCCCGGCTGTAGCAGCTACGCCAACCCCGCCGGCCAACCTGGCTGTATTAGCAACGCCGAGCCCACTAACCAGCCCGGCTGTAGCAGCAGTGACAACCCCACCAGCCAGGCTGGCTGTAGCAGCTACACTATCCCTACTAACCAGCCCAGCTTTAGCAAGTGCACCAGTCACAGCCAGCACTCCCCTAGGGGCATGTGAGAGCAGTGGCACGAGCTACAGCAGCCATAGCAGCAGCAGCACAAGCAGAAGCAGCGGAAGCCGCAGCAAGAGGAGGAGGGAGGGGGAGGGCGAAACTGGTGGTATTCTCACCTGCGAGAAACAACATTTCTCAGTGCATTCTGGGAGAGTGGTAACAGAGCCTCCTCTTAAAGGTGTGGAGGGGTTTACCAGGGCTGTGAGGGAGGGGGCGGGCGGATTGGCCTTTACAGCACCTGCTCCCCAGGGTCTTGCGGAGTTTGCAAGGGCTGTGAGGGAGGAAGGGGGCGGAAGGGGTGGTATGCCCACCTGCAAGGAGCAGCAATTCTCTGTGAATGGAGGCGGGGTGGTATCAACAGCCCCGCCTCTCCAGGGTCTTGCGGAGTTTGCCAGGGCTGTAAGGGAGGGGGAGGGGGGCGGAAGAGATAGCATGCTCACCTGCAAGGAACATCCAGGGAGGGTGGTATCAACAGCCCCTCCTCTCCAGGGTCTTGAGGAGTTTGCAAGGGCGGTGGGGGAGGGGGAGGGCGGAACTGGCGATATGCTCACCTGCAAGGAACATCCAGGGAGGGTGGTATCAACAGCCCCTCCTCTCCAGGGTCTTGAGGAGTTTGCCAGGGCGGTGGGGGAGGGGGAGGGCGGAACTGGTGATATGCTCACCTGCAAGGAACATCCAGGGAGGGTGGTATCCACAGCCCCTCCTCTCCAGGGTCTTGAGGAGTTTGCCAGGGCGGTGGGGGAGGGGGAGGGCGGAACTGGTGATATGCTCACCTGCAAGGAACATCCAGGGAGGGTGGTATCCACAGCCCCTCCTCTCCAGGGTCTTGAGGAGTTTGCCAGGGCGGTGGGGGAGGGGGAGGGCGGAACTGGTGATATGCTCACCTGCAAGGAACATCCAGGGAGGGTGGTATCCACAGCCCCTCCTCTCCAGGGTCTTGAGGAGTTTGCCAGGGCGGTGGGGGAGGGGGAGGGCGGAACTGGTGATATGCTCACCTGCAAGAAACAAGATTGCTCTGCGCATCCAGTGGAGTTGCGTTACAGGGAAGTGCGTGCAGGGGGGGTGGCATCCACAGCCCCTCCTCTCCAGGGTCTTGAGGAGTTCGCAAGGGCTGTGAGGGAGCGAATTGCCATGGGGAGTGGGATGGTTGGAGAGGGGAGTGGGAGATGGGAGTGTGGGGGGTGGGAGTGTGGGGGCTGGGAGTGTGGAAGGTGGGAGTGTGGGAGGGGGGGGTGTGGGAGGGGGGAGTGTGGGAGGAGGGATTGTGGGAGGAGGGAGTGTGGGGGTTGTTAGTGTGGGAGGTGTGACTGCCGGTTGTGTGACTGTAACGCAGCCTGACTCTGGTGCTGTTGGCTGTGAGGAGGCTGCTGGTGCTGAGGGGAAAGAATTGGAAAGGAGTGGGAGCAAGGCGACAGGCGTGAAAGGGGTTCCTGTGAGGAGGAGACGCAATCGTATCAAATCTGAACGATCTCGCCGCAAGCGAGTGAGGTGAGCCGAATGTGACCCGAAACTATCTGCTGTATTCGTTCTCCCTTGTTTCTCCCTTCATCAAACAAGCCTCTTCTCGAATCCCCGCTTGCCTTTTCCTCCCTCCTTTCCTTCTGTTTATCTCCAGTGATGCAGTGGAAACCCTTCGCTTGCTGGTCCCTGCTCCTGTATCAGCTCCAACCGACATGGCATCAGTGCTAGAGGCCACAGCAGCCTACATTCGACAATTGCAGGTAAGCTGCAATTACAGGTAGCCATGTTTTGATTTACCACCTGTTACGGTACCTGTTTGATGAATGGGTGTGTTGGTGTTTCAGGGCCTTACAGATACTCTCCAGACCAGAGCATGGCCTTGGCCCGAAAGACAACCACAAATTAACATCGGGTTCACGACATCTTGACTCAGGGCGTTTTCCTTCACTTCAGTACAACGATATGGTACAGGGCCTACAGGCTGTCACATAGAAGCCTAACTCTCATTCAAAGCCCGATTACCACGATGTTGACATACGTAGAAGTTTTTCTTCAAGTTGTCGCTGTACCAATTTGCAGGAACACGCCCTTAGTTGTATTTCGCTCTTTATATTATTATTTTTTGCCTACCTGAATGCATTTGAAAAGATAGTCGGGCAAACCTCCGTATGATGGAAGTGTAGTCAGCCTACGTATTATACACAAATGCATCCTCAGACCAAATCAACACTGTCCCTCCCAATGTTCGTCCTACCCAAGGCCGAATTTCTGCGACGCCTGTGACGCAACGCAAGCCCAGGACGAGCGACTCAGATCTAGCCCACAGCAGCTCTTTCCCATATGCGAAAATCAGTTACATTCTCGCCAAAGTCGTTTGGCGAACTCGCAACCCAACTTCCACCACCCGTCGCTTCTGGAAGCTGGCGAGTTTCGTCTGAGCTGGAGCCCGCTCAGCACGCACTCACCCCGTGCTGCCACTGCCAGGCAGCCAACGAACTATCTATTCCCTGAATCTCGGTTTTCACTTTCCCTGAGTCTAGTTTTCCTGCTGATCTGAAATTCCCTAGGTCACTTGCAGGTTTCATCAGCTTCTGTTTCCGTTTTCCTTCCTCCCTTGTTTCAGATTGCTGTCCTGATCTCTAGGCTCCTTGTACCCTGATCCCTTTAGCTGCTGCTGTTGGAGGCTCCGCAACTTCGGTACTTGTACTTAAGGACCAGTTTTCTCTTTTTAAATCGTTAGTTAATTACTGTACGCTGGCACCATGGTGTCCGATGGCTCTGGTCCTGCCGCTTCCGGCCCTGCAGCCACGGCCGACTGGGCTTTCGAGGTAAGCCGTAGGACTTGACTCTCGAACGATCAGGGTCCGGGTCTTAACTAAAGATTAACAAAGTACGCTTCTTACGATCCGTGTTCGAATCCAGCTTTTACACGACACCGATCTTACCTTTACGCGTCGTTAGTAAAGCTCCGGTGTGGTTCGCCCTTTTGATCCGCCAGTCCTCTAGTATGGATCTAGTTTAGAGAATTTAATTCTAACGGTTATTTACAGAGTTTTTCTTATCTCCAAGTTTTAACGACTTTCAGCAAGGCGTTTGCGTCGGATAACGACTTTCAAGGCGTCTCAAGCAACGCCGTTTCCCTGATCTCCCCTCACCCGCAGGTCGGCAAAGCGTTCGCGTCGCAGTACTATACCGTGATGCACACGCAACCGCACGATGTGCACAAGTTCTACGTTGACGAGAGCAAATTCACGCGCGCCGAGCGCCTCGGCATTCCCGGGGAAACTGTGACGACCATGCAGGTGCGTGTTGTAGTGACGGAATCCGTCGAATGGCTTAAGGGGTATGTGACGACCATGCAGGTGCGTCTCGCCGTGACAGAATCCGTCCAGTAGTTAATGCGATCCGTAATTCACAAGCATTGGGTTGGAGAAGCGTCAGTAGCAGCAAGGTAACGAGAGGACTGCATCAGTGTGAAGGTACAGGAAGGATTGCTCTAATGTACCAACCTTGAAGGAACTTGCGTTGTTGTTTTGAGAACGAGGACTTTATTTTCGGTAACTGGCAATGTGAAAAAACTGGTTACTCATATTCCTCACGCATGTGTGGGTGTGCGTAATGGGGTTTGGGGATCATATGCTTGTGCGGTTTCCATTATCTGTGTGGCATGAATGGGTGTGGCTTGGCTTGGGTGCTCTGTATGGTTTGTGTGGCCTGCATGTTGGTTTGGCTTTCACGCACGTGCACATGGCGTGTTCAGGGTATCCACACCAAGGTGATGTCATTGGATTCATGCGAAGTCAAGGCGGAGATCAAATCCGTGGATTGTCAGGAGTCGCTCTCTGGCGGCGTTCTCGTGGTGGTAACCGGCGCGCACTGTTACAGCAGCAGCGAGCGCCGCGGCTTCGTCCAGAGCTTCTTCCTCGCGCCGCAGCAGAACGGCTTCTACGTCCTTAACGACATCTTCCGGTTTCTAGAGGACGCGCCGCCGCCGCAGCCGCCCGCCGTAGTTAAACACGCCGTTGGTGGGGGGACTAAGTCGGCCGCGTCTGCCGATGGATCAGCTGCAGCTGCTGCTGCCGGGAGTGGGTCTCAGGCAGGTCTGGTGAACGGGCACGCGGCGGATCAAGCGGCAGGGTCCCGGGAGGTTACATCTGTGGATCACGCCGTGCGAGATGTAACGGTCGACGAGGCGTCCCAGGCGTCCGCGCCTGCCGCCGCCCCCAGCGCCGCAGCCGGCGGAGCCGGGGCTCCCCCGGCCGCGGACGACGGCGCAGCGGGGGAGGAGGTGCAGGTGATTCGGGAAGTGCCTGAGTCGGTCGTTTCCGTGGATCAGGGCCAAGGGCAGGGTCAAGGGGCGGGAGCGGGAGCCGCCGCAGCAGCGGCGGAAGGGGAGAAGGCGGAAGCGCCTGTTGCGCCTTCCGCCCCAGTTTCCGCGCCTGCTGTCCTTCCGAGTCCTGCGGGCGGGGAAGCGGCTGCGGGAGCACCAGCGGCGTCAGCTGTAGCACCAGCTGTAGCAGCGGCACCCGCAGCAGCAGCAGCAGCACCGCCTGCAGCAGCGGTAGCGCCTGTAGCAGCTGTAGCTCCAGCGGCGGCGGCAGCACCAGCTGTAGCTGCGGCACCTGCTGCTGCGTCTGCGTCAGATGAACCGGCCCCTAAGAAGTCTTACGCCTCTATTGTGAGTGATCATGCCGGTGTTGGAACATCTTAGGACTACTTTACGCCTCTAACATGAGTGATCATGCTGGTTGGGTTTGTCCCAGACCCCACATCACTTTTCAGTTGCGCAATGCTAGACTCGCCGTTATTTCAGTTGCGCGATTCGTGGAGCTATAACCCGTCAAAATAATTCCCCATCCTCACTGGAGGCAATCCTGTTGCTAAACCCTTTCTAACCCCCTTCCTCGTATCTCAACCTAGCCCACGTGCCAACCCGCCCAACCCGTACCTTTCTTGAGCGTCGCTTCCCCGCCCCACACGCCCCTCCCCCATCCCACCCTACAGCTGCAAGCCATGCGCGCGCAATCCGCAGCTGCCTCACCCGCGGGCGCCTCCGCGGGCGCAGCTTCCGCGCCTGCCTCCGCCACTCCCCCCGCAGCCGCGCTTCTGGGGGCGGTTGCGCCCAGGCAGCCGCCGCTGCTCCCTCCCGCAGCGATTGGGGGCGCTGGGGCGTTTGTGGGGCAAGAAGCAGCGCCGCCTGGAGCAGCAGCTGGGTTCTCTGCTGGTTTGCTTGCCCCTGCTCCTGGGTTCGCTGCTGGTGGTGGTGGGGTGGCAGAGGATACCAATGCTGCTGACGAAGGTATGCCGAATGCGTTGACTTGGGTTGACTGTAGGAGAGGTGAGGGGAGGGCTGGGGCGTTTGGGTGGCAAGATGCAGCGCCGTCTGGAGCAGCAGCTGGATTCTATGCTGGTTTGCTGGCGCCTGCCTCTGGGCTCGCTTCTGCTGCTGGGCGGGAGAGGATGCTAATACCGTTGACGAAGGTAGGGACGATGTTGATTGTGAAAACCGTAGGGGAGGAGAGGAAATGGGGGGGCAGGGCAGGAAAGGGCTGGGCTGTGTCGCATCTCTTGGTCTAGTGTTGACTCATGTGCTGCTGCTCCTGCTTGGCCCCTTCGTGTGCGCCACAGCTGCAGGGGGGGGGCGCGCTGTGTTTGTGCGCAACCTGCCAGTGCGCATCACTGCCAAGGAGATCGGAGAGCACATTAAACTCAACCCATCCTTTCCTTCCCTTCCCATGCGTGTGCCTCTGCTCCGTGTGCCTCTGCCCCGTGTGCCCTTTGTGCCTCACAGCTGCAGGGGAGGGCCGCCCTGTGTTTGTGCGCAACCTGCTAGTGCGCATCACTGCCAAGGAGATTACAATGCACCTTAGCCACTTCGACTTTAACGCATTCACTGCTCTCGCTCTTCCCCTGTGCCTCTGCTTTGTGTGCTCCACAGCCGCAGGGGAGGGCCGCGCTGTGTTTGTGCGCAACCTGCCAGTGCGGATTACTGCCAAGGAGATTGCAGAGCACTTCAGCCAGTTTGGAGCAGTGAAAGCGGATCGCATTCAAATTCGGGGCAACAAGGTGCAGTTTCCCTTTCTGCCTAATTATTTTCTATCTATGAGTTGACCATTTAATCCAGATTCAATTTTGGGGCACCAAGGTGCGGTGTCCTTTTTTGCCTTTCTACCACCCTGCAAATCCATCTATCCTCACATCATGAGTCATTTTCTCATGACCCTATGAGGCAACAAGGTTCTTTTTTTAAGCTGTCAATTCAATCGTCTCCCTTTCCGTGCGTCTCCTCAGTGAACGCGTTTGTGCAGTTTGAGGAAGCCAAAGTGTTGAGTTGGCTTATAACATTCTTCTGATCCCATTCATATTTCGCCCTCTCCCCGTCAGGCCAACAACCCCGCTACAGTGTACGCGTTTGTGGAGTTTGAGGAACCTGCAGCAGCACAAGCAGCAGTGGAGGTTAGTAGCAGGGTTTGGGGTTTTGGCTTTGTTCCCTGAGTTTGCTGCAACAAAAGCTGTTGGCACGTATTGTGAAAGCTCCTGAATGGTGAGCCGTCTAATTCTCGCTCTGAACTTTGAATCTCATTGCTCAACCCTTCATGTGTTTGCGTGTGGGCAGAAACAATCGATCATGGTGGGGAATTTCCAGGTGAAGATCGAGGAGAAGAAGGCTTCAAGCACTAACCGAGGTGAGCCCCTCGAAAGAAAAACAAACAAACAAGTAAGTAAACAAAACAAACAAACAAACAAACAAGTAAGTAAACAAAACAAACAAACAAGTAAGTAAACAAAACAAACAAACAAACAAACAAACAAACAAACAAGTAAGTAAACAAAACAAACAAACAAACAAACAAAACAAGGCAAGCCGTTATGGTGTGTCATCTGGTTGCCCATGGGCAGAAGCAGTACATAATGCTGGGCGAATCGTACCATCGCACGGGAGGTGCGCGGATTGCCAATTCCACAACGGCAGCAGCAACTTCAGTGGTGCTGCTGCTGGTGGCGCTGCTAGTGCCGATGGTGCTGGTGTTGATGTTCGGTGCTGGTGATTGCAGCGATTCTCTAGAAACTTGAAGAATCATCTCCGTTCTCTTCTGTCTCTCCCCTCCATCCCCCACCTCTGTGTTTCCGCACCCCCCTAGGCTCGTATCGTCGCACGGGAGGGGGCCGAGGAGGCTCAGATCGCCAATACCGCGAAGGCAGCAGCAACTTCACCGGTGCTGCTGCTGGTGTTGGTGGTGTTGGTGTTGGTGCTGCTGGTGGTGTTGGTACTGGTGCTGCTGGTGCCGGTACTGGTGGGAGTGTTGGTGTTGTGAGCAACAGGGGTGGGCGTGGGGGTTCAGGTTTCGGTTCTCGGGGTCAGCCGCAGGTGCAGGGGCAGGGACAGTGGCAGGGGCAAGGGCAGGGGCAGGGAATGCAGCAGGGGCAGGGGTTGACCGGACAGGGAGTGCAGGGGCAAGGATTCCAGCAGGGTCAGGGGTTACAGGGGTTTCAGCAGCAGGGGTATGGGGGAGGTGATGGGGGGAGTGGGGCGGGGCAGGGAGGATGGTCGTCGAGTGGAGGGGGGAGGGGAAGAAGAGGGGGACAGGGGCGGACAGGAGGGAGTAGAGGAGGGGGTCAAGGAGGGGGGGTCGCAGTGGTGGCTCCGTCGTAAGGGCCTGCCTGGGTTGTCGTAAGTGACTGACTCCAGTGGCTGAAGTGGTGCATTTCATTGTCATCATGGGCTGCGTGCTAGGTCATTTCTTCATCATTGCATTTCCATCGTCTCGTCATTGCAGCTTGGGCTTGTGTGACGGTCATTTCATTGGTGTACTCATTGGTTTTCATTGTCTGGAAGTCTGTAGGGGAAGTATTGTTGCTTGTTCAGGATACGAGCCAGGGTTCATGAGTTGAACCGGACTGTGGTAGGGAGAGAGGCCGTCAGGGCGCTGATGACAAATATTGCTCACAAGAAATGGTGGGCTGCTAGCAGTTCGTTTTGTGCTGCGTGTCACGACAAGCTGGCCAGTGCATTGTCTTGCTGCAACAAATAGTGTACTTCGGATGACGTAGGTAGGATGTGGAGATGTAACACATAAAATGGCTAAATGTGACACTTTCTTGAGGACTGGAAGTCTGGAAGGGATAACACTTCTTCAGAAAGTTCTCTTCACACGTCCTCGGCAAAGGTGTAGCTTCTTCAGGTCAATGTGGCGCCCTTGGATCTTGGAGGGAAAAATGGTGTTGCACATGTTCCGCGAAACTCAGAAATTCGCCAACCAGCAACTAGGCCAACCAAAATGCAGCATTTGCAGCCTCTCGCGAGATGAGTGTCTGGACAGGAGGTATTTGTGACACGGTAACAATATCGAAGGTCGCACAACGACGCACGCCAGTGTGAGTCTTGTTGTTAAATCTCCACCGTCCAGTCTGGAAACAGACAACAGAAATGGACGATTCAGATTAGGAGAAGCTAGGCAGGCAGCCATAGATGGAGCAAGTGTGGGTTTCACCTCTTCGGTTCTCCTACGTAATTTATCACAAGCTGCTTTCATTTCACCCAGTGCTGGATGTTTCGTTCCAGGTTCTCTGGATTCTTTGTTTAGGTAGTCTTCGCCGATTTTTGTTGGTCAGAGATTATAGTAGAGATGTCTCGGACACACATCAGTGATTTATCAGACGAGCTTCTAGTAAAGATTTTCTGGCAGAGCGATCAGCCAATTCCTTACCAGCCTAACACCGAAGCTGTGTGGAGCTGCTGTGGTTATAGGCCGACATACCTCTATTCAAAACGCGAAACTCTGAAACCCAATGAGGGTCCTTTACCGGCCCTTCCTGTCTCCGCAAACGCCGCCTTTAGTCTGCTCATCGCTTCAGTCTGCCGCCGCTGGCGCCGTCTCGCTCGACGCTACGTCTCCACACTTGTTGTCAAAGGCGGCCTTAAAGACGACCTTTTAGTGTCCCGCGTGGAGATTATGACCGCTATCACTTGCTTCCCGAACCTCACTCATCTTGAAATCAGCAATGTCTTATTAGGAACCATAAACGACGAGTTCCTGAATCACCTCGCCTCGTCATGTCCAAACTTGAAAATTCTTGGCCTATCCAGCGACTCGGAAGAATTGTACGCGGGTGGTGATAGGGAGGATGTGCAGCCTCTAGCTACATCTTCTCTGGATGCTCTATTCCGGCGGTGCACTCAACTGGAACAGCTAAATCTCTCCTGTGTTCATGACGAGACGGTCCTGCCAGCATCGTTTTTTCAACTAAGCCGTCTCCACACTCTTGCTCTTTTTCAGAGTGACTCGTTATGTAGACGCCACGAACTCGTAGAGTTATCTTCACTGACCGTTCTGGACATTTCCGTTACAGGAATGGTTTTTCAGGAGCTCGTCAACCTCACTGCCTTAAGTGGATTAACTAGCCTTTCACTTCCTGATGCATTCTGCTATCGTAACGATTCTACCGATTATTCGTTTTCCATCGCACAGTTTCCTTTCCTGACATCACTGAAATTCTTGGATAGCTGTCCTCGATTCGACCGACTGTTTCCTTCCGGCTCGCCATGCACCAGTCTCGAAGAGCTATGGATCACCAACTGTGGGGAACTCGAGCGTTTTCCTAACGACGTTGCCACGCTGTTGCCATCTCTTCGCATTCTAAGTCTGGATCAATACTCTATCCATGCGCAGCTGCCTGAAGAGCTTGAGCTTCTCTCCTTAACCCGTCTCGAACTTCTAAAGATTTCCAGCTGTAAAGGGTTATTCAGCCTGCCCGAAGACTTCGGATGCCTGACTGCCCTAAAGACTTTGGTTCTGGAGCACCTTCCACTCACGGACCTCCCTCAATCCCTGTGTCGTCTCTCGTCACTGGAAACGCTGTTTTTGATTCGTTGCCCTGAGATTCGCGAGTTGCCGGTGGAATTCTGTTGCCTGACAGCTGTCAAGACGCTGTGGCTCGTGGAGTTGCCTCATATCATGCTTCCAGCGGGTATCGGAGGGTTCAAACAACTCCAGACTTTTTACCTGAATGACAATCAGACGCAGCTGCTGCTTCCATACTCTTTCACTCAACTCTCTTCCCTGACGCGGTTGGAGCTTAATAGCTGCTCGCTTCTTAAACTTCCGGAAGACATTCAGAAGCTAAGCAGCTTACGAGAATTATTCATAATTTCCTGCCAGATTGAGGAGCTCCCAGAGTCGTTGACGGGCATTTCTGGCCTTGAAATCCTGGCCGTTAATCGCTGCGTAAGGCTACATGCGGTACCATCCAGGCTGGAAGCTTTCTCAAGGCTTGAAGTGCTGAAGTTTGAGGAATGTGAGAACCTGACGGAATTGCCTGAATTCCTGCCACAATCTCTCGAGGAGCTCAACCTTGGGAACTCCAAAAACGTCACACCTCTGCCGAATGTGACCGTGCTGCCAAAGCTGAGGAAGCTGAACTTGAGACTGGTTGAGGTTGCGTGGGCCGTGACATCCAGCAACGGCTTATCTCATCTGGAGCAGCTGTATCTGGAATCGTGCAAAGCTAGGAAACTTCCATTCCCGTTGGTCTACCTTTCCCGGCTTCGTACCCTGACAATTGGGAGTGCCTGGAGGGTGGAGGCGCTCCCAGATTTTGGGTCGTCAATGGTGCAGCTGCGGCAGCTGCGCATTCACCATGCCAATGAGCTGAAGGAGCTTCCTGCAAGTATTGTGGAGCTTCCGCGTTTAACGACTCTGGAGGTTCATGCTGCGAAGCTGGTATATCTTCCTGAGAATCTGGGTGCTTTATCCAGGCTGGAAGAGCTTAACCTGTCCAAGTGCTCTGCTCTGGAACATCTGCCTGCTTCTCTCACCCAGCTCGCCTTTCTGTGTCGCCTGGATGTCGAAGACAGCCTGATCCACTCACTGCCGCCTGGGTTTGAGCAATTGGCCAGGCTCCATTCACTGAACCTGAAGAGCTGCAAGAAGCTGGAATCCCTGCCTGAGAATTTCACCAGGCTCAAGATGCTGCGGGACCTTTTCGTTGAGGGGTGCTCTAATTTAATTGATGCTGAAGGTTTTGTGCGTCCTCGTTGCGTACATGAGCTGAAAGGGTTGAAAATATTCAATATCCGGTAATGCGTACATCTGCCTATGACTGCCTGCCTGTTTGTTGATGCATCACCCGGTGAAGCTATTTCTTGCAGTAATTCTTTGTTTGTCAGAACTTCAATCGCACACGTTTTTCCTGCTCTTTGTCGTGTCATTTATACAGGTAAAGTGTACAGATGCCACCGGACCAATGACACGCAAAACAGCATTGCAAATTGCAATATCGAGAACGATCCCTCATCAATCGTCAACTTCGCTGGGTCCTTGGATCTTCGTAGTGTAGCAGCACTGGGTGCGTCTGCCCTGGGTAGATCTAGGAATTCTGCTACCAAGTCTACGCACTGTGCCTACAGAAGACTTCTAGGATTTCAAGACATCTAGGAATACAGCTAGCGTGCTTCTCACCTCTAGTGCTCTCTCGCGTGTTTCTTTACTAAGCCAAATACTTCATGTCTTGCGCCTAGATCGCTTGATTGTTTTCCTTGCTGCCCTTCGCCGACCGTTATCCTCGTGCTCAGCGTTTCGAGATGTCTCACACTCGGATTGATGATCTATCTGACGAACTTCTAGCGAAGATTTTATGGCACAGCGATCAGCCAATTCCTGACCAACCTACCAGCGCCGATTTGTGGGAGTTCTGGTGGAGTAGGCCGAATTACCTTGATACGAGACGCGAAACGCCGAAACGCAATGAGGGTCCTTTGCCGACCCCTCCTGTCTCCGCAGACGTCGCCTTTAATCTTCGCATCGCTTCAATCTGCCGTCGCTGGCGTCATCTTGCTCGGCGTTACGTCTCCTCACTTGTTGTCAAAGACAACCCTTTAGTTTCCCGCGTGGAGATCTCGACCGCTATCACTCGTTTCCCGAACCTCACTCATCTTGACATCAGCGGTGCCGGTGTGGGAACGATTGACGACGAGTTTATGAATCATCTCGCCTCGTCGTGTCCCAAGTTGGCCATCCTTCGCCTAACCATGGACACGGAAGAAGAGTACGGCGTCGAAGATAGGATTGGTGTGCAGTCGCTAAGCACTGATTGTCTGGATAACTTTTTCCGTCAGTGCAATCAACTGGAACAGCTACAGCTCCACTGCCTCTATGACGGTGCGATTCTGCCAGCATCTTTTTTTCAACTGAGTCGTCTCCGTACTCTTTCTCTGCGTCAGGGTATCTCGCTATTTGACCGTCACGATATTGTAAGCCTCTCTTCACTCACTGTTTTAGACATTAGCACCCCAGGAATGCGGTATCAGGATCTCATGAAGCTCACTGGGTTACGTAGCCTAACCAGCCTTTCGGTTCCGGATGCATTCTACTCGCCACCCTATGATTCGTTTTCCATAGCACAGATTCATTTTCTGAAGACACTAAGATTCTCGGATAGCTGTCCCCGATTCGACCTACTGTTTCCTTCTGGCTCGACATGTGCCAGTCTCGAGGAGCTACGGATCACCAACTGCATCGAACTCGAGCGTCTTCCTAACGACATTGTCACGCTGTTGCCGTGTCTTCGCATGCTAAGTCTGGATCGATGCTCTACCCTTGCGCAGCTGCCTGAAGATTTTCTCTCCTTAACTCGCCTCGATTTCTTAAGTATTTCCTGCTGTGAAACGTTTTTCAGCCTTCCCAGAAACTTCGGACGCCTGACTGCCCTCAAGACTTTGATTCTGGATAAACTTCCCCTTTCGGACCTCCCTGAATCACTGTGCTGTCTTTCGTCGCTGGAGACGCTGTTTCTAACTCGCTGCTACGCGATTCGCGAGCTGCCAGCAGGATTTTGCTGCCTGCCAGCTGTCAAGACGCTGTGGTTCGTGGAGCTACCTGAGTTCATGCTTCCAGCCGGTATCGGAGGGCTTAAATACCTACAGACTTTTTACCTGAATGGCAATGAGAATCAGCAGCTGCTTCCATCCTCTTTCACCCAACTCTCTTCCCTGACGCGGTTGGAATTCAGAAGCTGCTCGCTTCTTATGCTTCCAGAGGACATGGAGAAGCTAAGCAGCTTACGCGAATTATTCATCAGTTACTGCCAAATTGAGGAGCTTCCAGAGTCGTTGACGGGCATTTCTGGCCTTGAAATCCTGGCCGTCAATCACTGTGAACGGCTACGTGCGATACCATCCAGGCTGGATGCGTTCTCAAGACTTGATGTGCTGGAATTTGATGGATGCGATAATTTGAGGGGGTTGCCTGAATTCCTGCCACCAGCTCTCGAGGTGTTTGATCTTGGGAACTGCATAAACGTCACACCTCTGCCGAACGTCACCGTGCTGCCAAAGCTCAGGAGGTTGAAGCTGAGACGGGTTGAGGTTGTGTGGGGCGTGACAGTCAGCAAGAGCTTATCTCGTCTGGAGCATCTGTTCCTGGAATTGGCAAGCAACACCAAGAAGCTTCCATTCCCGTTGACTTACCTTTCCCAGCTTCGTACCTTGACAATCGGGAGTGCTTCGAAGTTGGAGTATCTTCCAAGTTTTGGATCCACGATGATGCAGCTGCGGCAGCTGCACATTCGCCATGCCACTGAGCTGAAGGAGCTGCCAGAAAGTATTGTGGAGCTTCCGTGTTTGACGACTCTGGAGATCCATGCTCCCAAGCTGGCTCTTCTTCCTGAAAATCTGGGTGCTTTGTCCAGACTGCAAGACCTGAACCTGACCCAATGTGACTCCCTCGAGCATCTACCTGCTTCTCTGACCCAACTCGCCTATCTTTGTCGCCTGGATCTAACTTCTTGCCCGATCCGCTCGCTCCCGCCCGGCTTTGAGCGGCTAACCAGGCTCCGCTTCATATGGCTGAATAACTGCCAGCACCTGGAGTCCCTGCCTGAGAATTTCACGAAGCTCACGATGCTGCGGGACCTGAATGTTCGGGGGAGTTGGAAATTATTTGACGCTGAAGGTTTTGTGCGTCCTCGTGGCGTTCATGATATGAAAGGGTTGGAAATATTCAGGTAGTAAGTCTGCATTAGCCCAAACTGTTCATACACCACCTTGTTAGAATTGTTTCTTGCATTGCAATGCTTTCATTTGTTTCTAGCACGTTTTCCCTGTACCGGTAATTCGTTCAAACAGGCTTATGGCCTTGGGAAAATCTCTCCTCGTCCCCCGAAGCCCCGTTGTAGTGGTAGTCAGTATATAAATCACTACCGTAACTCCCTTTTTATCAGCTTGGTTTGAGTACACCCTTCCACTCTGAAATTTCAGCCTTATCTGCACAGCTCTGAAAAATAAAGGTTTTGTTAGCAACCCTGCCATAAGTGATTCACCCTGGTATCCAGGCCTGCTAACCTTGTCATAAGCTTTCCCATAGACTGACCAGTGACATGACAACCAGTAGAGTGCCTGCCAGCAACTCGTATGCCACAACTGCTGCTTCCGCATCGTTCTTCCCAGCGGGTAAGCCAGAGCATGTGCTCCACCCATTTGCTGCCTGCACGCGTGACGCCGCCATTTGTTTTCCCTTGAAACTCATACCAGGTAACAGCTAACTCTACACTATTCCACGCCTACAGCTGCTGCCCTGCCTGGCATGTGCCGGGCAGCTGCTGCCCTCCCTTTCTGGGTAAGCTGGGACACCTGCTGCTCTACTCTACACTACAGGAGCTGATTATGCGGGTCTGCTCTTATCAGTAAGCCGAGGCACCTGCCCCAGCTTCCCACACGCTGCCATCTCATCGTCCCCCCGGCTGTGCTGCAGATACGCCTTTCATTGTCTTCCCCATCTACCCGTGAGTCGTGACAGGCAACAACTCTATGCCAAAGCTGCTGCTCTGCTCTGGTTACCCTTGTCAGTAAGCCGAGGCACCTCCCCAGCTGCCCACATGCAGCTGCATCTCATCGTCCCCCAGGCTGTACGTTACAGCCAATCAAAACCCCTACGCTACAGCAGCCACCTCTGCCTGGTTCTGCCGGGTTAGCTGAGGCACCTGCCCCAGCTGCTCACACGCGGCCATCTCATCGTCCCCTCGGCTGTTTTTTGAGACGTCTCAAAGGTCGTCTACGCTACAGCAGCCACCTCTGCCTGGTTCTGTCTGGTTAGCCGAGGCACCTGCCCCAGCTGCCCACATGCAGCCATCTCATCGTCCCCCCGGCTGTGCTTTACAGCTAATGAACACCCCTACACTACAGCTGCTGCTTCTGCCCTGGCACTATCAGTAAGCCGAGGCACCTGTCCCAGCTGCCCACATGCAGCCATCTCATCGTCCCCCCGGCTGTGCTTTACAGCTAATGAACACCCCTACATTACAGCTGCTGCTTCTGCCCTGGCACTATCAGTAAGCCGAGGCACCTGTCCCAGCTGCCCACAGGCCGCCATCTCATCGTCCCCCCGGCTGTGCCGCAGATACGCCTTTCGCCCGCCTTGCACGAGCTCGTGTTGGAAGGCCAGCACGCGGGGGAGTGGAGATGGTTGCAGTGCGGTTCCCGGGTGCGGGTTGAAGACTATCAGGTTGATCTTGCATGCGATGCCCTCTGTTAGGGCGACAAGCCTACGTGCGTCTTCCAAACTGTGGGGATACCAGAGGAGGGAGGGAGAGAGGGCGGAGTGAAGCCAGGGGATGGCTACAGTGCTGTTCCTGGGTGTGGGTTGAAAATGATCAGGTTGAATTTGCATGCGTGCGATGCCCACTGTTAGGGTTACGAGTCGATGCGCATTGTCCATACTGTGAGGACACAAGAGGAAAGATCGGGGAAGTGTGAGAGGAAAGATGACTCCATCCAGCATCCGGTATTCGATGAACACATGGCGCTTGTTTGTATCCAGTAGGGTCCAGAGTGCTTACACCATCAACACCAGTAGCGTCACCCAACTGCATACCTGTCGATGACTCCATCCAGCATCCGGTATTCAGTGAACACATGGCGCTTCCCCTAACACCATCAGCATGGCAAGGGTAAGGTAACTGCTGCATGCGTACCTGTCGTTGACCCCATCCAGCATCCGGTACCCGATCAACACACGGCGCTTCCTTGATTGCTGCTGCAACCCTGCACCTTGCTCCACAAGCAGCACACACATAGGTGTGCTGTAAGGGTAACTGCTGCATGCGTACCTGTCGTTGACCCCATCCAGCATAAGATACTCGATAAGCACATGCCGCTTCCCATAACGCTGCTGCTTCAACCCCGCATCAAGGCTCTACACTAGGGCGCACCTGCAGTACAGGGCACTCTGACGCACCTGTCGTTGACCCCATCCAGCATCAGATACTCGATGAACACATACCGCTTGCTTGACTACTCCTGCAGCCCCACATGTACTCGAGCCTACACTGACAAGTACCAATCGCAAGGGGCGCTCATACGTACCTGTCGTTGACCCCATCCAGCATAAGATACTCGATGAACACATGCCGCTTCTTAGACTGTTGCCGCAACCCCGCACCTCCCTCCCCCGCATCAAGTGCTGACTGGGTTGTTGCGTCTGGGAAGTGCTGTCTCAAGCAGGCGAAGAGGCTGGTGAGGTTGTGCTTCTTGTTGATTGGCATGATGCTGCTGCGCACCTGATATGGGTAGCGGTGGAGGGGATGGTATGGCAAGGGGGGAAAAGGAAGAAAATGATTTAGAGGAATTGCTGACACACATCTTCACTTGCAATGAAGCAAGCAACGGCATATGTCACTGAAGCGTGTACCCACCTCGTCTGTGGTGGCATGCAGGCTGAGAGCGAGGCTAGCTTGGGAGTGAGAGCAGAACTCGTGCATCTCAGGGACGAGCCCACACGTGGACATGGTGGTGCGAGCCGGCGAGCAGTGGGGGAGAGGCGGAGGCAGGCCAGGACCACCAACCTTCACACCCAATGATAGCAAGCGGTTTGTGCCTCAATGGAAGCACGTACCTCGTCTGTAGTGGCGTGCAGGCTGAGAGCGAGGCTGGCTTGGGATGGGAGTGAGAGCAGAAATCCACCATCTCGAGAGCACCTACCTTGTGTGTGAAGAACATAACACATTGAAGAGCATGGGCGTACGTACCTCATCGGTGGTGGCGTGCAGGCTGAGGGCGAGGCTGGCTTGGGAGTGAGAGCAGAACTCGTGCAACTCAGGGACGAGCCCACACGTGGACACCGTGGTGCGAGCCGGCGAGCAGTGGGGGAGAGGCGGAGGCAGGCCAGGACCACCAACCTTCACGTCCAATGATAGCAAGCGGTTTGTGCCTCAAGAGAAGCGCGTACCTCGTCGGTGGTGGCGTGCAGGCTGAGAGCGAGGCTAGCTTGGGAGTGGGAGCAGAACTCGTGCATCTCAGGGACGAGCCCACAGGTGGACACCGTGGTGCGGGCCGGGGTGTGAGCGCCAAGTGGGGGGCTAGAAGAGGCAGGCAGGAAATAGGGCGAACCCAGGAGGCTGTACGTACCTCATCGGTGGTGGCGTGCAGGCTGAGAGCGAGGCTGGCTTGGGAGTGAGAGCAGAAATCATGCATCTCAGGGACGAGCCCACACGTGGACACGGAGGTGCGAGCCGCCAGTGAATCCGCTCTAGAGAGAGCCCGGGACTGGCCCCATGAACCACACAAGCGAAAGAAACACCCACCTCGTCCGTGGTGGCGTGCAGGCTGAGAGCGAGGCTGGCTTGGGAGTGAGAGGAAAACTCGTGCATCTCAGGGACAAGCCCACAGGTGGAGACGGTGGTGCGAGCAGGCGAGCAGTGGGGGAGAGGCGGAGGCAGGACAAGACAACCAACCTTCACACCCAATGATAGCAAGCGGTTTGTGCCTCAATGGAAGCACGTACCTCGTCGGTGGTGGCGTGCAGGCTGAGAGCGAGACTAGCTTGGGAGTGAGAGCAGAAATCCACCATCTCGAGAGCGCCTACCTTGTGTGTGAAGGATATAACACATTGAAGAGCATGGGCGTGCGTACCTCATCGGTGGTGGCGTGCAGGCTGAGAGCGAGGCTGGCTTGGGAGTGAGAGCAGAACTCGTGCTTCTCAGGCACGAGCCCACACGTGGACACGGAGGTGCGAGCCGCCAGTGAATCCGCTCTAGAGAGAGCCCGGGACTGGCCCCATGAACCACATAAGCGAAAGAAACACCCACCTCGTCGGTGGTGGCGAGCAGGCTGAGAGCCAGACTAGCATGGGAGTGGGATCAGAACTCGTGCAACTCAGGGACAAGCCCACACGTGGACACGGTGGTGCGCGCCGGCAAGCAGTGGGGGAGAGGCGGAGGCAGGCCAGGACAACCAACCTTCACACCCAATGATAGCAAGCGGTTTGTGCCTCAATGGAAGCACGTACCTCGTCGGTGGTGGCGTGCAGGCTGAGAGCGAGGCTAGCTTGGGAGTGAGAGGAAAACTCGTGCATCTCAGGGACAAGCCCACAGGTGGACACGGTGGTGCGAGCAGGCGAGCAGTGGGCGCCTAAAGGGTCCAGGAGGGTGTTGCATGCTGTGAGAACCGCCGGGAGGTTGTGCAAGGGCTCGCCCATACCCTGAGGAGGGAAGGCAAGCAGAGGATTGCAAACAGGGGTGAATTTGAGAGTCATGTCAGGTTGCACTGTGCTCTGCGGTCCAGTGCGGTGCTGTGCGGCCCTGGTGGAGCATTGCGGTGCTGACAACACACCCACCCACCATGAAGACAAGGTTGGTGACAGGGCCCACTTCCTCTGTGAAGAGCCGGCGAATCTGAACCACCTGATCCACTATCTCCCCTGCTGTCAGTCTGTCAGATGCACTATGCAGTTCAATGCGGTGCAGAGTTGTGCTGTGCTCTGCGGTGGGGTACTCTGAGGTGCTCAACTCACCATGAAGACAAGGTTGGTGACAGGGCCCACTTCCTCTGTGAAGAGCCGGCGAATCTGAATCACCTGATCCACGATCTCCCCTGCTGTCAGATTGCGCTGCAAACCCATCCTGTGAAAAAAGGAGGGACGAAAGGAGGGAGTGTGCTGAAATCCTAAGGTATAGTAGGGGTGGGTTGAATATGAACCACCTGATCCACGATCTCCCCTGCTGTCAGGTTTCTCTGCAGCCCCATCCTAAGAACATGGGAAGAGCATGTTAGGGCAACAAGGGATGAACGGTTGAAATGACAAGGGAGGGTGTTGAAGGGACAATGTGCCGAATCGGAACCTCTTGATCCATGATCCCCCTTGTCGTAAGGTTGCGCTGCAGACCCATCCTGCAAAGAATGGGTATGCAAATACGACAAGGGACGAAAGGAGGGAGTGTGCTGAAATCCTACAGTGCAGTACGGTTGTGTTGAATCCGAACCACCTGGTCTACGACCTCTCCTGCTGTCAGGTTGCACCATCCTGCGAAACAAGTGTGGTGAGATGACAAGGGCTGGGAGTGTTAGAGTGACAACGTTACATTTTCCAGGCTCCTTAAATGTGATGAGATGAGTGTGGTAAGATGATGTGTTGATATTGGGATGACCAGGAACAACCCGCATGCTGTATTACATGCGTGTGCGTACGCAGGAACTGATCACATATGAGGCGCCTCAAACGATGAACTTTGAGATGACCAGAAACACACATGCTGTATAATATGCGTGTGCGTGCACAGACATGATAAGACATGCTTACTTGGCAGTGAAGCAGAACTGGCACCCCATGGCACACCCCAGCTGGGTCGACACACACACAGTGTTCCGCCCAGTCTTACTCCTTCTCCTGCTGCTCCTCCTGCTGTTGCTGCTGTTCTCGTTGCAGCAACCTTACACATACGTACCAACAAGATCCTTACTTGGCAGTGAAGCAGAACTGGCACCCCATGGCACACCCCAGCTGAGTCGTCACACACACAGTGTTCCGCCCACCCTTACTCCTTCTGCTCCTCCTGCTGCTGCTACTCTCTTTGCTGCATCCATACACCTACATACCAAGGAAAAGCTTACTTGGCAGTGAAGCAAAACTGGCAGCCCATGGCACACCCCAGCTGGGTCGACACACACACAGTGTTCCGCCCACCCTTACTCCTTCCCCTGCTGCTCCCTCTGCTGCTCCCACTGCTGCTGATAGCCCCAGTTCTGCTCATACCATCCCCCTCTTTCTCATCCTCACTACCACTCCCCTCCTCCTCGTCCTCCTCCTCCTCCTCCCCACCTTCCCCGCCCCTCCCTGGTCGGTGGGGAATCAAGACTGTTTCCACCACGCCTAGTCGCCGGGGGCGGTCAGAAGGAGACAAGTCAGCATCGCGGCTCAGCTCAAACAACACCTGACAAGCAAGGGGTGAGGAGGGGAGGGGTGTGTGTGCGTACGTGGGGGAGTGGGGGCGTGTGAAAGTATTCGAGCAGTCAGAAGGAGACAAGTCGGCATCGCGACTTAGCTCAAACAACACCTGCGAAGGGTGAGGCCGTGGGGAGGGGTATACATGGCGGTTGGGTTGGGAGTGGTTAGAAACGGTTTGTGCGAGTGTTGAGAGGAGGTCCCTGGGGAATGGGCACTGATTCCACCACGCCTAGTCACCGGGAGCGGTCAGAAGGAGACAAGTCAGCATCGCGGCTCAGCTCAAACAACACCTGAGAGCGAAGGGGTATATGTGTGGACGTGGGGAATGGGGGTGTGAGAGAGTATGAGGGCGGACAGAAGGAGTCAAGTCCGCATCGCGGCTCAGCTCAAAGAGCACCTGACAAGCGGCGCTCGTGGGAAGGGGGGTGTACGGGGGGGTTGGGAATGGTTAAAAAAGGTTCGTGCAAGCCAAGGTTGGTTCAGGGGAATGAAATCAGCACTATGTCCACCACGCCTAGTGTGGCGGTCAGAAGGAGACAAGTCAGCGTCGCGGCGCAGCTCAAGCACACACAAGTTCTGTCCATGACAGAACGTGCGTGCGTGTACCACCCACCTTCTTCGTACCGTCGGCGGCTGTTCGGACGGAGTGCAGGCGCAGGGAGGAGAAGCGAGCACCCGAGGAGGCGAGGAGGGAGAGGAAGGAGCGACTGACGCCTGCAGTGCAGACAAACATAGAGAGAGAAAGGAGCAGCTGAGTTTTGCAACGGAAAATAGTGAGAGGAAGGAAAGAGTTTAGGAATACAGGGACCTGAGCGGTGGGGATGGGAGGGCAATAGAAGTTTTTTCGCAGATACTAGGGATGCTAAGACGTTTGCGGGTTTTTTTTTGCCAATGTAGTGAAAGTCTCAAAAGAGAGGGATGGAAGGAGGGTAAAGGAGTGTAGAAAAACTGCTTCTCAGCAGCTACAACAACCACATCATCAGGCTCATTTGCCACGTCATCAGCTTCACCTGCCATGTCATCGACACTCTCAGCCCAGTGGGCGTCTCGATATAGCCACTTCCACAGGACCTTTGCCCGCCTCCTGTGCTCCTCCCCGCACTCCGCTGCCACCCAATCCTGCGATATAGTCACATCAGGTTTAATCGCAATCCACACCCGTATAGAGATATTGTCGCGCATCCAGGGCCAATCTAGCCACCCGTTCCCACTCCCCTTTCTCCTTGAATATGCAGGTGATTCTACACCCCCTCCCTCCCCCACACACATACCCATGCTCAAAGCCGTGTGTCGGACTCACCTCTAGTTGCTCGAAGCTCATGTCTTTAAGATACACGGGTGCGCGTTCTAAATTTCGTTCTATTGCCGCCTCGGCTTCTGCTCGTAGTGGAGCGCTAATCGCAGCTGTTCTGGTCTCTGATTGGCTCCTCGCTGACACGCTTCGCAGAGCCTGGTCGTATAAACCTTCACGCGACGGATTACCGTGCGACAAACCCCTAAGCGACAAGCTGTGCGATAAACCCCTGTGCGACGCGCTTCTGTAAGACAATCGGCTGTGCGACGGACTCCTGATCGACGCATTACCAGACAGAATTTGACAGGAACGCTGATTCGACGCATTATGGCAGCTCGTTTGATCGCCAAAGCGGGTGATATTGAAGCTGTTGAAAACGTGGCCCCGAAAATGGCTGCGCGACACGTAATCAAACACCTTTCTGGAGCTTGTCCAAGGAGGAAGAGTAGCGGTCGCCATAAAAGCTTCTGGAAATGGCCGAGTACATGTACTTCGCAGCCTGCCTCCTTGAAGAAAAATTCATGCGAACTCAACACTATATCAAGAAACCAAAAGAGTGGTACCTACACAACAGAACCATAGAATACTGTCACGAATAAATGTCCACCCTTACTGTCAAATGTGCCTCAGTGCCTGGTCACTCCCTTGCACCAGCCAACATGAAGCGCATCCACATCGTCTAAACATCACAAAACACGTTCAATCATAGATATTCATACAAACTTGCAAAATGCAAGAAATATCTCGGCCTGATACAAACTTGCTACTTGAATAATCCCGCCAGTTTCATCTCATGAATGCCACGAGGACGCACAAAACCGTCAGAATCAATGACTTTAGGACACCCAGAAACATTCAACTCCCTCAGCGTTGTGAGCTTGGTGAAATCCTCGGGCAGGGACTCCAGATGCTTGCACCCCCCCAGGTTAAGCGTATGGAGCCTGGCAAGCTGTTCAAAACCGGGCGGCAGTGAGCGGATCAGGCTGTCCTCCGCATCCAGGCGACACAGAAAGGCGAGCTGCGTCAGAGAAGCAGGCAGATGCTCCAGAGCGGTGCATTTGGACAGGTTCAACTCTTGCAGCCTGGATAACGAACCCAGATCCTCAGGAAGAAGAGCCAGCTTAGGAGCGTGAATCTCCAGAGCCGTTAAACGTGGAAGCTCCACAATACTTGCTGGAAGCTCCTTCAGCTCATTGGCATGGTGAATGCGCAGCTGCCGCAGCTGCACCATTGTTGACCCAAAACTCGGAAGGGACTCCACCCTCCAGGCAGTCTTGATTATCAAGGTACGAAGCTGAGAAAGGTAAGCCAACGGGAATGGAAGCTTCGTGGCGTTGCCCGGTTCCAGGTACAGATGCTCCAGACGAGATAAGCTCTTGCTGACTGTCACACCCCACACAACCTCGACCAGTCTCAGGTTCAACTTCCTCAGCTTTGGCAGCACGGTGACATTCGGCATAGGTGTGACGTTTCTCCAGTTTCCAAGATTAAACACCTCGAGAGATTGTGGCAGGAATTCCGGCAGCTCCCTCAGATTCTCGCAGTCATCAAATTCCAGCACTTTAAGCCTTGAGAATGCGTCCAGCCTGGATGGTACCGCGCGTAGCCTTGTGCAATCATTAACGGTCAGGATTTCAAGGCCAGAAATGCCCGTCAACGACTCTGGAAGCTCCACAATTTGGCAGGAACTGATGAATAACTCCCGTAAGCTGCTTATCATCCCCATGTCCTCCGGAAGCTTCAATAGCGAGCAGCTTTTGAATTCCAACCGCGTCAGGGAAGAGAGTTGCGTGAAAGAGGATGGAAGCAGCACCTGCTTCTGATAGCCATCCAGGTAAAAAGTCTGGAGATTTCTAAACCGTCCGATACCGGCTGGAAGCATGACCTGTGGTAACTCCAGCCACAGCCTCTTGACAGCTGGCAGGCAGCAAAATCCCACTGGCAACTCGCGAATCTCGGAGCAACGAATCAGAAACAGCGTTTCCAGAGATGAGAGATGGCACAAGGATTGAGGGAGGTCTACAAGTGGAAGGTTATCCAGAATTAAAGTCTTGAGGGCAGTCAGGCGTCCGAAGTTTTCAGGCAACGCTTCACAGTGAGAAACACATAGAAAATCGAGACGGTTTAAGGAGAGAAACTCTTCAGGCAGCTGAGCGAACGTAGAGCATCGATGGAGACTTAGCTCGCGAAGGCATGGCAACAGCGCGGCAACGTCGTTAGGAAGTCGCTCGAGTCCCATGCAGTTGGCGATCCGTAGCTGTTCGAGACTGGCGCATGGCGAGCCGGGAGGAAACAGTAGGTCGAATCGGGGACTGCTAACCGTGAATTCCAGTGCTTTCAGGAAAGAAAATTGTGCGATGGTAAACGGATCATCGGGAAAATCGTACAGAGAGCAGCACGCCTCCGGAATTACAAGACGTGTCAAGCTGTGTAACGTACTGAAATCTATGAGATCTTGAAAGTACATTGCTGGGTTTCCTAGGTCTGGAATGTCTAGAACGGTGAGTGAAGTTAAGTCTACAAGCTCGTGACGATTTTGTAACAGGCTATTCTGAAGCAGGGAAAGAGTGTGGAGATGCTTCTGTTGAAAAAACGATGCTGGCAGGTCCGCGTGGTCATGGAGACAGAAGAGACGTAGCTGTTCCAGTTGAGTGCATCGCCGGAAAAATCTATCCAAACAATCTATATCTAATGGTTGCAGGTTAGTTCTAAGACCACATTCGAGCAGTTCCTCCGTGTCGCTGAGTAGGTCAAGAATTGTCAATTTAGGACATGATAAGGCAAGGTGATCTAGAAACTCCTCGTCTATCGTTCCTAAGCTGACGTCGCTGATTTCAAAATGAGTGACGTTTGGGAAACAAGTGATAGCGTTAAAGATTTCAACGCGAGAAACTACAGGGTTGTCTTTGATCACAAGCGTGGAGACGTAGCGCCGAGCGAGACGGCGCCAGCGACGGCAGATCGAAGCAACGAGCAGATTCCAGGCGGCGTTTGCGGAGACAGGCGGAGTCGGTAAAGGACTCTCATAGCGTTTCGGCGATTCGCGTTTCGAATGGAGGTATCTCGCAATAGAACTGCAGGAGCTCCCCAAAGCGTCGCTATCAGGTTGATTAGGGATTGGCTGATCGCTGTGCCAGAAAATCTTCACTAGGAGTTCGTCAGATAAATCGTCGATCCGCGTGCGAGACATCGCGTACTTCTGGGCGCGAGGTTTCGGTCGGCGAGCGGCTATTCGAGGTAACATACAAGCTATCTTCATGCAAAACGTGAGGTATCGTCCTGGCGAAGCACACTAGCTGTACCGCTGACTGGTCTAGCTACTAAGTACAGGGAAGTCCAAGACTGCTTCAACCCAGACTCACAGATTGCTGCTAGATCTGAGGACGCGGTAAAAATATTCCCGATCGATGCGGATCGCGGTCGATTTTGCCACAGATCGTTATGGAATGGTAGTAATCTACAGAAATAATCTACAGATGTATACAGTCATCATAAGACCCTGGAGCTGACAGAATGGCAGAATGTGTTCAAACGGCCAGCATGCTCTCAATATCAGCTTGGTGAACACACATAAACCAACGTGCCAGGCTTCAATAAAGTGTTCGCTTTCTCAATCAATGGGAACCAAAGCAAGTAGAAATGTCAGCATTAGACCACATAGAAAGATCCAGCCAGCTGCCAGCAGTCAAAGAACACCTGAGAGCATAAGATTGCAGCATAAGCAACCATAAATCAAATGCAGATTGGCCATCGCCTTACGATACTCCAACCCCCCAACTTCCTCCACCTTCACCACCAATGAATCGCCTTCCCGATCACATCTTTCTCTCCTCTCACCTCTCATCCCCTTACTTCAGACTCCTCCACTTCATTTCCTCCTTCCCCATTCCTCTGCTCTGTCCGCTCACTTCCTGCGCGCACGCTACCCCCCCACTCTTCCCCCATTTCCCCCCGATTCCCCCCTCACCTCCCCTGTTCAAAATCAACCCTGTTCCACAAGCTCCCCCCCTCGAACACCTCGTAGCTCCCCCCGTCTCCGCTCGCATGCACACTACCCCCACTCCACCCTCTCTCCCCCGACTGTGCCCTCACCTCCCCCGCTCGAAATCGACCCTGTTCCACACGCTACCCCCCTCGTACGCCTCGTAGCTGCCCCTGCCTCCACTCGAGCGCACGCTACCCCCAACACCTCCCCCACTTCCCCCCCACTTCCCCCTCACCTCCCCCGCTCGAAGTCCACCCTGTTCCGCGAGCTCCCCCCTTCGTACGCCTCGTAGCCCCCCCCGCCTCCGCTCGCGCGCATGGTCCCCCCCGCGCCCACCTTATCCAGCGCCTTCTTCCCCGTCTTCACCTGCGTCAAGAACTGATCCAACCCGAACAAATCCGTCCCCCCCTCAACCACCGCCACTCCCGCTCAAACCCCACCACCCCGTCCCTCCCCTTTCCCCTCCTTCCCCCCTCCCCTCCCCCTTCCTCCCCCATTCCCCTACGAATTTCCCCTCACCTCCCCCGCTCGAAATCCACCCGGTTCCGCGAGCTCCCCCCCTCGTACGCCTCGTAGCTCCCCCCGCCTCCGCTCGCGCGCACGTTACCCCCTACTCCTCCCCAACTCCCCCGCAACTCTCCCCTCACCTCCCCCGCTCAAAATCGACCCGGTTCCGCGAGCTCCCCCCCTCGTACGCCTCGTAGCTCCCCCCGCCTCCGCTCGCGCGCATGGTCCCCCCCGCGCCCACCTTATCCAGCGCCTTTTTCCCCGTCTTCACCTGCGTCAAGAACTGATCCAACCCGAACGGATCCGCTTCAACAGCCGCATCGCGCTCGAACTCCACCGGCCCGTCGCGCGGCGCCCCGCCGCCGCCCCCCGCGCCCCGTTCACCCGCGAAGCCCTTATCCGGCTTGAACCGCTCCGTGCGCAGCAGCGCGTCCGCTCCGCCGCCCTCCTCCCCGCCGCCCCTCCCCGCGTATACCTCCTCATCCACCCCCTTGCGCACCTTATACAGCCCGCTCGCGCCCTCGCGGTTAAACAGCCCCTTGTCGTAGATATTATACGTGTCGTCCGCGGCAAATCCGGACTCCATACCCTGCTCCTGGTTGAAAAGCCGCTGGTCGTACATAATCTCCCCGCCGCCGCCGGCGCCGCCCACGTTAGCCAGCCCAAGCGCCATCTTCTCGCTGATATCGCGGTCACGGTCGCGCGTGAGTTTGCTCTTCTTTCCGCCCGCGCCTTCCTTCGCCTCCAGCCGCCGCTCCCGCTCCCGCTCCCTCCGCCGCTCCTCCCGCAGCGCCTCCCTCCGCATCCGCTCCTCGCGCTCCTCCCGCGTCTCCCCGCGCCGAGGCTCGTCCCCTTCCGCCCGCCCGTACCCCCCTTCCGCTCCGCCCGCGGCAGCCTCACGCGAAACCAGCGCGCCTCCGCCAGCCGCTCCGCCTCCGCCTCCGCCGGTGCCTCCGCCTGCGCGCTCCATGCGCGCCTTTTGCGCCAGCAGGCGGAGCTCCTGCTCCTTCTTCTCCTTCTCCAGCAGCATCCTCTCCCGCTGGATCTTCGACCGCATCTCCACCTCCTCGCGCGCCTTATTCTCCGCGACGTATAGCGACTCGGACAGGCGGGCGAAGTTGTCGTTGATCTGCACTTCCTGCAGCCCGCGACCGTCGGCCGCGAGACGCTTATCCAACGGAATTGTATACCCCTTGGGATTCTTCCAGTTGGAAATGCAAGGAGGAATCTTCCAGTCCTGCTGATCCTTAACGGTAACCGGCCGAGGCGGGGAATGCATCACCGGGACCGGCGGCGAGCCGGACGCTTTCGGTACGCGCTTGTGCTTGAATTTAGGCGGATCCAGCGGATCGACCGGCATCTCCACCATGCGGATAACGCGCTCCTTCGCGCCGGAATTATGAGCCGAATTCTGCATACCGGGAGTGTATTTAATATATTGCGGGGTCTTGGAAATACCGGGGACGTTCTTAGGCTGAGCCGCGCTGAGCCGAGCCGTGACGATCTTATCAATGGCTGCCTTAGTGCGCTCCGCGGTTTCCTTCATCTCATCCTCGTCCTCTTCGTCCCGAAGCGCTTCCAGATCCTCGTCCTGAATCTTCGGGATTAGATCCTTGTGCTGGCTGTACACCACCTTCTGCGAATTTTCCCCGAGCTTCACTATAGCGTCGTACGCGATATTGCCTTCCCCGTCTACAGTCACAGGAAGCACCTTGTTGGTGACCTTCTCCTGTTTCCGTCCCATCTCCAACGGATACTGCGCCACGTGGATCTCCGGGAACGCGCCGCCATCGCCAAAGTCCTCGACGCGGCGCGGGACAAACCCTTGCCTCTTGCCGTAAGGAGGTATTTGGCGTTTAGGAACTATTTTACCCCCTGCTGCTGCTCCGCCAACTGCGGCATCTGGATCTCTGTCGCGATTCGCGAACCAGGCGTCCGAGGAAGCGTCGTAGACGCTCTTGTTTTTAGGCGCAGGAAGCTGACTCAGGAACTTAAAGGCTGACGTGGACGCCATGTTTCTACACCTCCGAACTGGCTGGTTCAGGAGACAAAGCCGCAGGTAGTAGCGAAAGAAACGAAGCAGGCTATCAAGACAGCAGAAACTGCAGCACTTTTTCCCCCACCCAGCACTTACGCACTCGGTCAGTTCAGCAGACACCTATACCTTCTCACCTCGAGGAAAAGCCTTGAAGGCTCGACCTTCAAGAAAAGCTGGTACCCTGTGAATCCCGGTTGTGTCAAGCAGAAAGAATGGTGGAGGAGAGAGCTAGGGTTCCGAGAATGGAGTTGCCGAACAAGACACCTTTGGGTTAGGTTGGGCGGAGTCGGTTTCAGATAGGTTGAAATGACTTCCTGCGGTGAATCCCAACGTTGAAGGGCCATTGCGAGGTCGTTCAGAAGTTCTGAACCGTGCGATTGACCAGGTCAAATCCAGTGGTTGTTTGAGGTGGTTGGTGGTGGTGCTACCGAACAGGGCTGTTGTGTTGCCGGACGACAGACTTTCGACGATTGACGAAGAAGGTCAGTTGTTCGCAGGTCATACTGTAACTCCTTATTTCCAGGCATTGTCGCCAGAGCTGTGTCTCGACTGTCAGCAATTCCCACCTCCAGCCCAGCCAGGCCCCCGACTTTAGCCGCTGGCTAGCATGAGTGAAACTTTGCAGTGGCGCGGGATTCTCTAGGCTTGCGCAGGCACCCGCTTTTAGCTGCGCTGACGACAGTATTCCGCCAGCGGCATCTCTCAACCTCCCCGTTTCCTCATGCCCGTTCCCTTGATTGTGCAAGGACGAATCCTGTACACAGATTGAGACAATCACCGAGAAAACATGAACCCAACCGTTCGTGTTCTACGTCGAACCCAAGCAAACCTGCTGCTGATTGTGAAACATAAACCGAGCATTTTTCATGTGAACGGTCGTGGTTTCATTGCTCGATTCCTCGGTGAAACAAATATCGTGGAATCAGTAGCATTTTGTTTCATGCTAGCATTTGTATTTTGTAATAAACTCGCCGTCTATTCCGCTTTAGGACAGCGATAGGCGTTTCGACTCTGTAGGCCCTTCCGCGTCTCGCATCTCACCGCCGTAACTCCGTTGTGTACGAGTAAAGCACAGAGGTAAATCCATGTCATCCTCGTTGTTTTCCAAAATAAAGCCGGGATCGCCTGACCTCCGTTGGCTACATTCCAGTTCCTATTGCTTGCTTGCACCATCGCGAAGGCTCGTAAGCTCTTATCAGTCTCCCCGATTACCCGTCTCGTCGTCTCCCTGCAAATCGTTGTTCCCTGATCCCATTCCACTTGCCTCGGATCGCCAGATGTCGAGGCCTTATTGGCTCGTGTCTCTACCGCTGCACGGATCTAAGGAGAGCACGTGGGGTGCTCTACAGGACAGCCTCAACAGATCTCTGTCCGACCTTCCGTATTATAAGGTAGCCAGCTCGGACCTCTCTGTCTTCGTGTAATGAGTCGTGTTTTGAGTCGACTCAGAGCACGTGGGGTGCTCTACAGGACAGCATCAACAGATCCCTGTCCGACCTTCCGTATTATAAGGTAGCCAGCTCGGACCTCTATGTTTTTTACGTGAGTGGAACATTGGCATTCCTGTTCGACTTTTCAGAATGACATTTTTTTTCCCTTCTATTTTATACCGCCAATATAAATGTTTCGATCGAGCAATGTCAGTTCAGACGTCAGTTGCGGTTTTCCATATCAAGCTCAGTCGAACCCGCTATTCCAAACGACATCTATCATTGCAAACATCTTGTCACAAATCCTGCATTCACGGTGAACCGCATCCTCATCCAGATTTTTTTGCCCACTAAAAAGTATGCGTTCCGGCTAACTGCATCCTGATCCGCACACTTCCGTAATCCATTCGGTGCAGCTTGTCGCTAGACTCTGCACGTGAGCGTCTTCCTTGCTTTCCCGTCCATCTCGTCCCTGATCTTGGATGTGCCTGATGCGCTGCTCCCTCTCCCTACCTCGCAGCTGTACGTGCCTGGTCTGCGAGTGGGCACGCTCGACTCGCTCCTATCCCTCAGTGACGACCTCGTCAAGGTGGGTGGATAGATGGTTGAGGCTACGCAGACTGCTGCTCTGGATCGCTCTTGCAGCTGTACGTGCCTGGTCTGCGGGTGGGCACGCTCGACTCTCTCCTACCCCTCAGTGACGACCTCGTCAAGGTGGGTAGCGGGATGGATGCTTGGATTGGCGAGGAATTGCAAAATGTACCTCCCTGGTCCGCGTTTGCACTCTCTCTCCCATCCTTTGTTTGACCCCCTGACTCTTTCCCCCCTCTCTCCTACACAGTGGTCGAATCTGATTAGTTCCGATATTGTCACGTGTTTCTTGTTGTATTTTAATTCCAGGCAAGTGCGCATGTGGAGGGAGTTGCGAACAAGATGCGGCGTCAGATAGAGGAGCTGGATCGGGTGCAAGGCACCAACTCCGGCGCTCTTTCGGTGGACGGCGTCCCTGTCGACTCCTACATGACCAAGTGAGATGATTCGTGAGCTCGTGAGGCCACTCGTGAGCAGGCGGAATGAGTTGTGAGCAGGTTGTGAGTTGTCAGTTCAAGATGCGGCGGCAGATAGAGGAGCTGGATCGGGTGCAGGGCACCAACTCTGGCGCTCTCTCGGTCGATGGCGTCCCTGTGGATTCCTACATGACCAAGTGAGTAAAGCACTCACTCAGTAATCTGAGTCGACTAAAGACTTTCCCTGAATGACCAGACTAGGTGACCTCGGTGAGATGCCTTTTCAGTACTACTGACAACACAACCGTGACTATTATGACTGTGCTGGTTTTCACGAGGCACATTCTGATATTTTTCTCCTGTTGTTTCTCCCTTAAATATTCCCTTTGGCTGGTGCTGATTCAGCTTTCCGTGGGATGAAGCCAAGTACCCTGTGACAACGCCTCTGAGGGAGATGGTGGAGTCGATTCAGGAGGCACATTCTGATATCTTTACCCTGCTGTATTTTCCCGAAATACTCCCCTTGCTTTGTGCTGCCTCAGCTTTCAGTGGGATGAAGCCAAGTACCCGGTGACCACGCCTCTAAGGGAGATGGTGGAATCGATTCAGGAATCCGTGTCCAAGATAGAGGACGACCTCAAGGTTAGTTATAAGTAACTTAATATGATAAATATATGCCAGACTCTATAACGGGTATGAAGCAAATGAGGGAGACCACGCATCTATGGGAGATGGTGAAATAGACTCAGGAGTCCATGTCCAAGATAGATGACGACCTCAATATTCGTTTTGTCTCTTTGAAATGTGAGGTTTCGCGCCAGACCTTATAACGAGTATAAAGCAAACAGAACCAAGTACTCTGTGTCCACGCCTCGAAGGGGATGGAGGAGTCGATTCAGGAGTCCGTATTCTGTACCTTATGGGATAAAAAACGACCTTATGCATCTTTCCCCTTCCCTTCTCACCAGGTACGGGCATTAGGGTACACGGCAGTGTGCAGTCAGCTGAGTGCACTTGAGCTGATTGACTTAGTGATTACGCTCAGCACATCAACTATGGCTCTGTGCTGTTCCCCCTTATTGCATCTTTCCCTCCTCCACCCCCCATCAGGTGCGGGCATCAGAGTACACGATTGTGTGCAGCCAGCTCAGTGCATTCACCCCTGTTGAGCCGTCCTTGTGCTCTGGTTGGTGAACTGCACCTATGCATCCATGCTCTTCCCCCCTATCCTCTCCCCCCCTCCACATCAGGTGCGGGCATCAGAGTACACCACAGTGCGCAGCCAGCTCAGTGCAATCAACCGCAAGGCTGGTGGCAGGTAAGGCATCGTACTTATCTCTCATTCTTATCTCCGGCGTGACTGGATGGATTGAACAACGTGGTCCAGCTTACTGTCTCTGTGGTGGATTGAATAGCATGGGACTGCTATTACAGTCTCTGAGCTTCATTGCTTCGTTTCCCTCGCTCCATGCCATCCCGTCGGCATCCCGGCTCTTCCTTTCTTTTTCTGCCTTTCATCTCATCCCACTCCTTGTCGCTCCCATCCCCTCCCATCCCGTCCCATCCCTTTCCAACCCCTTCCATCCCTTCCATTTCTGCAGCATGTTGGTGCGGGACCTCTCCACCATAGTGCAGGACAGCGATATCATCGTCTCAGAGCACATGACCACACGTGCTCACTGCTTTCTCTTCCCCTCATTCCCTTCGCTCTCATTCTCGCTTCATTCTTCTCATTGCAGCATGTTGGTGCGGGACCTCTCCACCATAGTGCTGGACAGCGACATCATTGTCTCAGAGCACATGACAACTCTGCTCGTGGTGGTGGCCAAGTACTCAGAGCGTGACTGGCTCGCCTCCTACGAGACACTCTCCACGTTTGTGGTACGTATGTGTTGAAGAGGTGGTTACCACGTACATTATTGTCTCAGAGCACATGACGACTCTGCTCGTGGTGGTGGCCAGCCAGTCTCAGAGTACTCTGAGAGGGACTGGCTGGGAATTTCACCAGGTGCCCCAGACCTCCTCCAAGAAGGTGATAGAGGACTACGAGTACGCACTCTTCACTGTGACTCTCTTATAACTTTCGCCAATTCAATCCATCCCGAGTTCCATGTTCTACCTCCCTTTACCAGGTGCTCCAGTCGTCCAAAATAATAGAGGACAACGAGTATGTTCTCTTCAGTTTGACACTGTTGAATTTGATTCATCATATCAGTCCAAACCATGTTCCATGCTGCACGCCCATCCACCACCCTTCGCAGGTGCCCCAGTCGTCCAAGAAGGTATTAGATGAGAAGGAGTATGCGCTTTTTGCTGTGACGTTCTTCAACTTGTCTCGCCATTCGAATTCACCCGATGCTCTTCATCCTTTGTCTCTCTCCCGTTCCCAGATGCCCCAATCGTCCAAGAAGATCACAGAGGACAATGAGTACGCGCTCTTCACTGTGACGCTCTTCAATCTGACTCACCTCACCATTTCCCGTGATCCCATGTTTCATCCATGTTCCGCCATCCCAGGTGCCCCAATCGTCCAAGAAGA